GAATGGTGCCTTCAGCCAGATTCGAACTGACGATCTCCTCATTACTAGTGAGGTGCCTTACCAACTTGGCCATAAAGGCTTTTATATAAAGATCTCTGCTGGTAGTATTTACTACCAGTCTGACATCTGGGCGTATATTAAAACAAACTAACCTAATACTCCCATATATCTACAAACAGTAAACACTAATCGAGTTGATACATTTCCCACCATATAACTATGAAAGCATCCTCATATTACTTATGTTTTCAAACAATTGCCAGATATATACTCAAGAGACTTGTGGGGATTGCAAATGGCTTCACCCCTAGAGATATTAATTCAGATGTGGATAAAACCTGACATCAAGAATAATAAGATGTATTAAGTTACAAAGACTGTCCTAAAAAAATAAATCGTCAGTAATATTCTGGATATAATATACTAGTTATAATATACTAAGGAACTCTATCAATGACGCTCTTCGCACCATATCGCCACAAAATCACCAAATTTTTAATTACACAAATTCTCAAGGATTTTTAATAACAACTGGTGTTCAAGTCTTTATTTGTTTTTCAAGTATACAGTGTAAAATCGAAAACATAGCACAAAATTGAAATTTAATAGTATCCAGAATTAGATTTCAATTATTTACATTAATAAAGGGATTGTAACAGCTATTGAGACATATTATTGGATTGATTGTTGATTAATCGAATTAGGATTGTTAGTGAAAAAAAAAACCCGCTGTGTTGGTCATTTTAAGTGGAAACAACCCAGATACAGAATATATTTTGCAAGCTAAACAAAATCACAGATTGCCGGTAATAGGATAGAGGAAACGATAATTATACTAAGATGATGACATTGCCTAACGACGAGCCTACAATTTCGCCTGACGACGCTGCCACTGCGGCAGCAGTGGCAGCAGCCAGCACGGCAGCAGCAGCGGTGGCAGCGATTCCCCAATTAAAGGACGATGATCACCAGCTCCACCACCAGTTTGTGCAACAGCACCACCATCATCTCCAGGAACAGCACGCACACCACCATCAACAGCATGCGCTCCAACAACATCACCAACATCAACATCACCCCCACGAGCATGATCATGACCAGTTGAACTCTCAGCTCAACCAGTTGCAACAGCATAACTTAGCACACCACCAGTTGAATCACACGCAGCATCATCATCTTGAGATGTTGGCACAGGCAAATGAAGAGGATTTCCTCGATACTACCAACAGGAAGGTTGCGCCAAGATCGAGTGATTTGTTCAAGGTTGGTCCACAATTCAGCGAAACAAGACACCATCAGGATATTTACTGTAAGAGAAATGATATGGATGTGAATCCAATTTTAGAAGCTAGGATTGATAGAGGGTTCGAAGTGGGTGAAAATGGTACTTGGATTGGTTACAAGAGAAACTACTTCACTTTGGTGGCTTCATTCTCGTTGGAAAATTTCAACTTCGACCGTTTTATTCAGAATAAGTTCTACACGTACGAAAAATCGTCCAAGAACGGCGAGTCAGTGGGCGAAAATAAGGTTGAAATCAGTTATTTTGCCATCAGATTGGTTGCTAAGTGCTCTGACGATGATGTGGCTATCAGTCTTGTTCAGCACACCGCCAAGAGAGACAAGGGTCCTCAGTTCCCTCCACCAATCTACCCAGCTGTTCCAGGTGACTTGCCTGACCACGAAACAGTCAGGGCGTCGTGTAACAAGCGTAACGGTAATAAAATTGAAAATATGAATAAGGTCTTCTACTTTGATAGAGCCGAATATTATCACAATACTAATTTGGACACTTTGAAAGACGACTCCGTTTTGAAGAACTATCCAAGTGACTCAATCGCCAGAGTGGCTAGATTCGAAAGAATCCAATTTACTTCTTCTATCAGATTGAAATCTACTTCGGTCAATTCCAGATACTTCACCTTACATGTTGAACTACTCGGAATCATCGAGAACGAGGATTGTCAAATCCAACCAATCTTATTGTCCTCGATTGAAACTCCTCCTCTAATTATCAGAGGTAGATCTCCATCAAACTATCACAAGGATAGAACTTCGGGCTACAGAGGTCATATTTAACAACCTTAAAATGTTCCCATCACTTCCAAGTAATAAGAAAAAAAACCTGATAAGATTCCCGTGGTGTACTTTTAGTTGTTTGTATTTTAGGTTAATATATATTTAGGTAACAATTCGCTTTTTATTGTGAATAATAATCTCAATATCAGAGATATCTGAATTGTCGACATAACATGTAGTATTAAAACAACATTTATGTAAAATTTACTTCATATAAATCAGTTTTACAAATAAAGTGGTGGTGGTCATTTGAGTCCGGTCACATTGATGAAAAATTCATCAACACAATGTTAGCTCGCTACTATTTTTTTCCGACCCCATATTTTACATGATCTTCTAACTTTTAATCTTATTACATTATACTTATTATCAGTTGTATTAGCTCATTAGACCATTCCTGTGATTGTGAACATTCTTTCATTTCATAATATTTATTTCTCGGTTGATTCTTGAAAACTCAGTTACATTAATATTGAAATTACAAAAATTATCAACATATAACTAGACACATTATAAACGTTGGATATAAGAAGCTGGATTAAGAATCATGATACCGACAACCAATAGAAACAAGCTAAATATGAATTGTAACGAGGAATCGACACCGTTTGAGCCTGTTCGGGTGATCGATAAGCAATCGTTGGATTATGTATTGAGGTCAGGAATTTCGGGTGGTATAGCTGGAAGTGCAGCTAAAACACTTATTGCCCCATTAGACAGAGTGAAGATTCTCTTCCAAACGTCTAACCCAGAATTTCTTAAGTACAGAGGTAAATTCTCCGGACTCTTTCGTGCAAGTAAGCGGATTTGGAATAACGACGGATTATTCGGATTGTTTCAAGGACACTCAGTCACTTTGTTAAGAATCTTTCCTTATGCATCAATCAAGTTTGTTGCTTATGAGCAAATTAGGACTATTTTAATCCCAACGGATTTGCACGAAACTGCAATTAGAAGATTTATGGCTGGTTCATTATCTGGTTTAGCAAGCGTTTTCTTTACGTATCCATTGGATTTACTTAGAGTTAGAATGGCATTTGAAACTAAGCATTTGCATGAAAAAAACATAAGACCTAATAGTCGCCAGCACTTTATAACGCACCATCAGGGCCGATTGAGTGCAACTTTAAGGGAAGTATTAAATGAGCGTCCGCCCCATAGGGTTAATGATCCAGCCTGGTTAAAGCTCATGAGACAAAATTTGCCTCTGTCTGTAATGTCATTATCAAACTTTTACAGAGGGTTTGCTCCAACTATTTTAGGAATGATTCCATATGCGGGAGTGTCATTCTATACGCATGATTTGATACATGATATCTTGAGATCGAAATACTTGTCAAAGTACACGGTTCAATCACAAGGAGCTCTTTCTCATTCTATTTCCACCTCATCTTCAAACAATAGAGTTATTAGAAAATCTTCAAACAATAAAGACCAAATAAACTCAAGAGATTCCAGATTGCCTTTGATGGCATATGCCCAATTACTAGCAGGTGGGCTTGCTGGTATGTGCTCTCAAACTGCGGCATATCCCTTTGAAGTTATACGGAGAAGAATGCAAGTGGGTGGTGCCGTAAATCAAGGGCAATTTTTATCATTTAAGTCCACAGCCAAGTTAGTTTATAGAGAAAGTGGATTTAGAGGCTTTTTTGTTGGCTTGAGTATTGGTTACATGAAAGTTATTCCTATGGTTGCATGTTCATTCTACGTTTACGAAAGATGTAAAATGTTTTTCGGAATATGATCTGATGAAATTTTTATTACGTATTTTACTTGATACATAAATAGATCTATACTAGTATATTGTATTTGTATATTTACATATTTATTTATTTATTTACTTATTCATATATTTATTTGATTTTCGTATATGTCTACTCGTTCGTTTGTCTATTTATTTAATTCATTTAATTATTCATTTATTGATTTACTTTATTAGTTTATTCGATTTATTTATTTGGAAAGTTTACCTTTCAATATGTACAAGAAAGCCTTGGTTTAAAAGAACCAGCTAAACCACTTCTTCTTTCCGTTAGGTCTTGTGCCAAATTTTTGACTTGAGGCAGTAATGTCTTTAATAGTATCTTTTGCAATAGAAGCTGTCGTAGATAATTTATCACTTCCGATTTTAAAACCCCAATTTCTCAAGCCCTTTACAATACCAGGAGTGATAGCAGCAGTAATTGGCAATCTAATAAAAATCAATGACTTATGTATACCATACGCAATTGCAAATTCCGTCCACGAAAACTGGGATAAAAGAAAACTAATTAAATTGCCATCTGCATTCGGGTCTTCAGAATTAGTTTGTTCATGCATTTCTTCGATCTTGTTTATATCATGCTTTTTCTTTAATTCTTCATCCGACATCCCGTAACCGAATGTTTGTTTTACCTTGTTTTCATAATACTCGATCTGATCTTTACCCATTGAATGAACCATAACATAGCAAATTGGCAAATCAATGAATGAAAGTGCTAAGTAAACTCCTAAACCAGCATATCCGTATTCTTTCATCAAATGTTTAAGACTCTTTGGCTTATTTGGTGCTTGCGGTGGCGCTGGTTTGCTCGATTTCAACGTCGATTGAAATCTCTTGAAGAATTGATTCTTCGGAATTTGTCTGGAGATAATCTGTCCTGGGGATTTGTGGAATAGCGGCTTTACCGGTGCCTGTATTCTACTTAATAAACTGATTCTAGACATGTTGTATTGATTTGTCTATATAACTAGTTCTATTCTCTCATCTATTTCGATTTTTTTCTACTCCTGCGAACGTAAAATCCGAGGACTAACAAAACATTGAGCTTTACAATTATACTGTATTCCTACTATATACAACTAATTAACGGAATTGAGAATAGAAGCGCTCTTCGGAGAACCTTTGTTCTACTCTTTCAAGTATTTCATTTGTATAAACTTCTGTCAATGGCTCGCCGCCTTTTAAGACTCTATCTTCATGCAACTTCTGTTCTTCCTTGGTCATGATAACAACGTTTTGGTAAGATAATTCCTTACTTGGGTCCCATCTGGATAGGGTCAATCTCGTTGAATAGTTAGATATAGGGGACTTTCCATGGAATACTTCTTCTAATATATAATTAACGTCGTTCAATGCGATAGGAACTCTTTGGTCCAATTTGCCAATTCTCGATTGTTGGCCTGCCAAACTCTGCAATATTCCGTCGTATACCTTGTATCTGTTTTTACCTTCAATTGGCTCGACTGGGTATCCTGAGATAGAAGTAATAAGATGGGTAGCGATGGTCAACCCAAACATACCTGGCATGGTACCCAAAACAGGCAATATTCTAACTCTGAAGTTTTTAATGGCTGATAATTGGTCAACCTCACCTTTTGCAACTTCTTCGTCTGTTAATGGTAATAATTGAGCTTTTCTTGGGTCTGGTTTTTCAGCAGAGAACACAACAGGAATACTAGTAATGATACCTCTTTTTTTTAAACGAATACGTACTGAACGTGATAATGGATCTTCTTCAGTCTTCGAAATATCAGAAATGTTTACTCTGGTTGGATCGGATTTGCATGCTGCACCTCCCGACGAAATAACCGGTAATTTCTTTTCATGACAGAATGCTAACAAATCCACTTTAGTATCTATATTATCAATGCAGTCTACTATATATGTTGGCTTGAAGTCACCTCCAAATAATAATTCTTCGGCCGCATCTAAGTTCCATAATTGGTTTTTGGTATCAATTTCAATCCATGGTGCAATTTGCAATAAATGGTTTCTCAAGCATTCCACCTTGGAGGTTCCAACATCTTTCAAATTTGCCACTGCATGTCTATTCAAAGAACTCAAAGAAACCTGGTCGAAGTCTATTATCCTAATTTTACCCACACCAGATCTGACCAACATTGTAGTAACCCAAGATCCAACACCTCCGGCACCAACAACCACGATATTTTGGCTTCTTACCTTTTCCATTCCCTCTTCGGTCAAAAATGCATAGTTACGTGCCAACTGCTCTTGAATTAATTCTTCTGAATAGGCTTTATTTGTTTCTTTAATCTGCTCAGTCGATGGAGATGACTTTGCTTTTCCTTGCGAATCCATATATCTATGAATTCCTTCAACAACACCTGCAGTAATTACTGCAGTTGCAACTACAGCCATCCACACTTTGGATTGATAGGACATATTAGCTGCTATGATAGAGAAAACAGATGATCCTTTTGCAACTGAAAATTTTTGTAGTTATAAAAAAAATTGAAGATCTTATGCGCAGTACAATACTAAAAGAAATATAGACTCTCTTTATATTATTATAATATTATGCTTATGTATATATATATATGTATAGGACTACAACTTGGACTTGACCTTTCTACCAACAGTACTCTTAATAAGACCATTTGGATCTGGAGATGGGTAAAATAATTCATCATTTTGCTTAATACCCTTCCATTCCAAGTTGTATAATATATAGTGCTTATTAGGCAAGGCATAGCTAACGGTTTCAATTTCAGGAACCAATTCCAAAATTTTATGAGACATATTGTACATAGTAGCTTGAACTGAAGGAGAATTCTCTAAGGCAAATAAGTCTAATGTGACCTTTCTGGCACTATCATAAGCGGAATCAAATAAGCCCTTATCAGCTTGAGTAAATACCAGGTCCAAAGATGCAATCTGCTTTGGATCAAAAGTCCAGGATGCATCCACATCGGTAGATAAGATTCTGTCCTTGGTAGGCTTTAAGGTGGTATAATCGCAAACATTATAACCGTAGAACATAGAACCGGTAGATTTCAAGACAGTTAAGTCCTTAATTGAAGAGGTGATATTCAACTTCTTATTCTTTTTGGAATAGGTAAGGAATGTTCTTCTGGTTTCAGGCCCCTCATGTTTAAAGGAGTGTGGGTGGTGTTTTCCATTGACTTCGTATTTAGTCCACTTGCTCTGAATAATGCTTACTTCGATTCCGGAAACATGGGCGTACTTTTCAGTAAAATGTTTGGCTAAATGAGCAGCAAACCTTTCGATTGGCCACACATCAGTGGTTTTCGCTTCAACCAAAATAGTGTTCTTGACGGTATCGGTAGGGACAATAGGAGAATTGTCGGCTTTAGTATACGAAATATCAAAATCACCCTTCAATAACACCTGCACATTTGCTTCTAAGATTTCCTGTTCTTTAGTATTTTGGGGGTTCTTTTTAACCTTAAGGAATTTAACATTTCCTTTACCGTATGAGGAGTCTAATAATTCTGATTGCATAGTGTTTATAGTATAATGATTAATAAAAAATTTTAAAAAAGCGGTTCATTTCCTCTCTTATATATACTATCTTATCGCCAGAATTACAATCTTATCAAATTTTTGATCTCGGAGAAGGCCGAGAATTGCAAAATTTCATATTTATATGATTTTTTATTGACGGACCTAACCTTATTAACATTATACATTATCATTTGTATGTTAGGATCGTATGATTTGTTCTTTATATATGTGAATAGTTAAGAAAAATTCGATAGTATCAAATTAATAGAATTTTAATAATAATGTTAAAAAATTGTGAAATTTTGAGTTTCAACGCAATATAACGAGACGCTACTGAATACTTGTAAATATTACCTTCTTACTTAAAATAAATAACAATCTGGCATTAAATATAAATATAGATATACTATAAACTGTAATCTCAGAATAATCTAAAAGCTGAAGACAAAACGCTATTTACACTCAATCATTTTTCTTGCCCGTGAAATCGGCTTCTTGAGCCATTGAGGTTAGTTCTTCTACTCCTTTTTTCAAGTCTTTTGTAGACAGATCTTCATTTGCTAATTCTTTTTCAACTTGATTGAGGGATTCTGGCTTATCAGTCTTCTCATCTGTTTTGTCTGATTCTGAGTCCACAAATCTTAAGCTCTTTCTTTTCTTAGCCGACTTTGAAGAATTGTTTGTTTCTGCGCCAGTGGTTGAATTGGAAGATTCAGGAATATTTGCACTGCTAGACGAAATTTCTTCCTCAGTTGAAGGAGTCCTATCAGACGAGCCATTAAATACCAACTCGGCAGTTCTGATCCATCTTCTTCTTCTAGTATACTTTGAAAATGAATCTTCAGTCGATGGCTTTTTCCAGGTATTATCGTAATAGATATAACCTTCATCGGTGGATGGATTAGCAGTGGTCTTGGATCTCTTATTGTTTTGTAAAGTAATGGCGCCATCATTTGTCAAGTCTAATCTCCAAGTCTTATCAACCCATCTCCAGGTTGTACCGTTTCCGGACAATTGCTGCGATTGTTGGGCTCCAAATGAATAGTTATTGTTTTCGTTATTTGGAAGTTGGAAACTCTCAATGGACGAAGATTCATTCAAAAATTCATCGGTCCATGGAGTTCTTTCGTAAGACAATAAATTCGATGTCCAACCGATACCCAACCAACGTCTTTGATTTTCGTAAATCACGTATGTAAATCTTACAGGTTTGTTGGAAGCTTCACTACTCAAGTCTAAAGCATGTCCAGCATTTTTGTGAACTTTAGCAAAGGCAGCAGCAAATAAGGAATGGTTTCTAGCTTGCAGGAAATCCAATCCGGTCAAGTAAAAACACAACACTCTGACCAATTTAATCTTCCACAACATTTTACGCGTAACTCTCGAGTACGATGAGTGGTATGTAAGAATGTGGAGTCCCGTGAATAACAATATGATTCTGGGCTTGACAATTAAAAATGTCACAATAAGATAAAGCGGAGTCAAGAAAACCGTTGTGAAAAGGAGTCTTTTGATGTCGTAGGCAGTTAACGACAATGATGTAATAGGATTCAACAACATGTCAGCTTTGATACACGTAGTGGTCAATGCCTGAACAACATCATCCAAAGTTGGGTGTAAATTCGTTTCCTCAATGATTTTATTGTTTAATAATGCATACAATGTGATAATGCCTACTATAATCAAATGTCCCAGCCATGTCACCAAATTTTCGAAATACAATATAGCCAACGAATACAAACAAACAAGAATAATATTGATCCAATAATCATCATTAGTCCATGTTATGATCGATAAAAACTTATTAACTATCAATAAGTACGGATACGATCTTACCAACGACTTAGCAACACTAGGTGGGGTCGATGACAAGAGCGGTGATGTTTGCGGCCTTGATTTATTTTCTTCATCTTCCTTCAAGTTGCTTGACGAGCTAAATACCGCTCTGATTTCAGTTGCATTGTCCTTGGCTTCACTGCTACCTTCGATTTTCCCTGAGTTGGGACTACTGTGCACTTTTGATCCTGGAGACTTATTCCCTAAATTTTCTCCATTATGGTTGCTTTGCTTGCCAGACATTATATTTTTTTTTCAAAATCAATTTATCCAATTCAATACTATGCTAACACCAATTGAATCGTTCCTTAATGAGTTTGTCGGATTATAAGCTAAGTTACTATAGGAAGAATAAATTGATTTCTGAAAGTGGGTTTTTTCTGCCAATCGCAATCACATTCAAATTAGCGCAAACACTCACAATAGCATCCATATGAAAATTCCATCTATATCTTTAAATAGGTAAATTGGTAATCATAACACTTATAGACATGGTAGATGGATTTCTCAAGCTTATTATCCAAAGAAATCGAGAAGAAAAGGAAGCTAGCTGGTGAAACGAAGAAGAACAAAAAGATCAGAGCCGAGGATGACGTGAAGGACACAGAGACTGATACACTTCGGACAGCTGCTACTAGTGAGAAAATCACATCGGACGAGAATAGTAGACAGGTATACACGCCCGAGGAAACGGTATTGATCAATTCAATCTCAGATGAACAACTCGACTCTAAATTAGAGCAGTTGGATGAGAGCTGCGATGCAGATAGTACCAAGCTTGACAAGATCAAAAAACTAGAAGTGCTTCTTCGTCTCCAGAAGAAGAACGAGGTATATAGGATACAGCTCGAAAAAGAAGCAGAGACAGATAGAGACATAAGGTTGGAGGATATCACCAGCGTCGATGCTAGAGACAAGTTACATACGCAAGTGCGTATGTATATCAAATACATGGTGAAGGAATGGGAGAACGATGTGCAGATGAAGAGGGTGAGCTTCTCAAACATAGAAAGTGACGAGGAACGGGAAGAAGAGCAAATTTCAGTGGCTACACAGTCGACGATGCTCTTGGACACGAAGAAAGACTTGGTGAGACTACTCTACAAGCTCCGCACGCAAAAGCTTACTGACTCGATGCTGACGTCTCTCTGCACCATAATGTACTACTTACAGAACCGTGACTACCGGCGAGCCAACGAGAGTTACATGAAGCTCAGTATTGGTAATGTGGCGTGGCCTATTGGGGTCAAAGGCGTAGGAATACACGAAAGAAGTGCTGCCCTGAAAATCACCGGTGAAAACAAGCAAAATTCGGCAAATATCATGCTTGACGATAAAACAAGACGGTGGATCACAGCCGTCAAGCGATTAATCTCGTTTGCTGAACGAAAGTGGCCTACATAGCTGATATATAGCGACTTTAACATCATACATCGTGCATCTTAACATTATATCTCATAAATCGTAGCATTGTAATTAGAATTTCCTCTTGAATTCTTGCATTCTTCAAGTTTACGCCTGAATTGGAGGATCAGCAGCAAGAGGCACTACATTGCAAGGTCTCCATGATCTCTAAGGTCTGAATCTACATACAACCAAGCAGCCGTATTGATATCCAATTTTCACGTGTAGTGATACAGGGCTAAACCCTTCGGATGGAAATTGGAAATTTTTTTTTTTTCAGACCTCACTTGAGTATATTAGAAAAGACGAAATTTGAAATATTTGTTAGTGCTAATATACTTTAAGTAACATTATACATATATTAAGATGGCTGTATGTACTATTGGGATTATATACTAGTAGTTATTGAATATTGTTGATAGTCTGAAAGTGAAAAGGGATTTAAATTAATGAAACAAATGGCTTGCAAATGATGATGGAATATTGGACATAAATATGAAAAATTTACAAGAAGATGACATGCAATGTTTAATACATAAAACAATTGAAAAACTGTCGATATATGTACTTAATACGATGGATTATTGAAAGTGGGATATGTTTCATATTGATGACTTACAGACTGGCAAGAAATGACTTGATAACTAGATTATGTGGACGTATGGAGAATATGTATACTAACAATTTTTAGCGTGAAATCAAAGACATTAAGGAATTCGTTGAATTAGCTAGAAGATCAGACATCAAGTCTGCTGTTGTCAAGGTCAACAAGGCTTTAAACGCTAACGGTAAGAAGATCAAGCAAACCAAGTTCAAGGTTAGAGGTTCTAGATACCAATACACCTTAGTTGTCAACGACGCTGCTAAGGCCAAGAAATTACAACAATCTTTACCACCAACTTTAGAAATCAAGAACTTATAAGTTAACATTTATTAGTTAATAATTGTATATTTAAAAATGGTGTATTAGCTCATCGGGTCACTTTTTTTCTATAGTTTAATAAAGTTTACAAGTTTAATACCGGAGGTGAATGTAATATTTACTATGACTAAATAACATCTTCCATTTCAATGTCTTCTTCTTCCTCCTCCTTTTCTTCGTTTTCCTCATTTATAACCAATCCCAATCTGGCAGCTCTTTCGGCGTCCCGTAATCTTCTATATTCTGGTTTCAAATTATATTTTGATGTGTAGGGCCCCTTTTTGATCAAGTTAGCAATAGAGTCCAAACTTTCTTTTAAGTATGATTCTGGCTGTCTGGTTCGTTCCTTCAATCCCTTCATGGACCAATATTCGTACTCTTCGAATAATCTGAACAACAAGTCTAACAAATCCTTCTTAGGCATTCTAATAGCTCTTCCTTCACCATTCTTGCTCTTGGCAGGGTTAGATTTCAAGAACACAGAAGTATTGTTACCTTTAATCGAAGGCCCAGCATTAGATTGCACAACCCCAGGAATTTCATCCAATAATGTAACTTTAGGTCTAGGCTTCGATGGTTGAATATTTTGTCTCTTCATGGTAACTTGCGAATATTTATTGTCACTCTTGGAAGGAATTATTTGACAATCGTGGCAAACCTTACCTGCTAATGCTGTTTTCTTTGGAATTGTTTTTACATATGGAACGAACTTTTTGACCGGCTTACCATCCTGGCCCTCTTTATTCTTCTGGATTCTGAAAAATTTCTGTGGCTTATTTTGCATCTTCTTCTTATCGACCGGTTGCAACGATGGCTGCTCTGGCATATCGGCTACTTCAGTCAATTCCTGCTTGAATTTGGTTAAGTTTTCTTCGCTGAATACATATGAATTACGCACTTGCGTGTTTAACATAGATATGTCATATTCATGGGGTATGTCTTCGTTCATAGCTGATTCATTGAGAACCAATTTTACTTGTAACTTTCCGCTATTGTTCCCAGTACGTCCTGATTGCTTGATCTTAACTCTACCCAACTGCTGTCCGCTCAACTCGTCTATATTGGACCATTTCTCTGCCAAATATCTAGGAAGCTTAACTAACCAAACTTTTTGTTCTCCATTGGTCAAATTCATATCCAACGATTCATTTTCTTCCAAATAGTCTTCTGGATCTGATAAAATTGAATGATCTGGTTCTTCTGCTTCATTTGCATTTTGGTCTTTCGTTATATTGCCATTACTAACCGTATCAGTTTTATCATTATTTGCCACCTTTTCGCTCGATCCAGCTTGTTTTGTTGCTTTCTTCACCGGTGAAGTCTTTGTAGAACCACTCATTGCAGCTATATTATTAAGGATTCTATTAATTGGAGTGGTTAATAAAAGGATATAACAGTGATTTCTTTATATGGGTTGAATTTTTATTTCAGTAAGACTGTATTCAAAATTACACAAAGGTGCAAAAAACGATATTCAGCTGAAGCCTAGTTAATATGCTATAAAACATTACTAAAGATTAAGCTAAAGAAACAATGAAACCTGGTCCAGACTTGCCAATGGTCATATCTAGACCACACTATATTTCAGGAAGAGATTGTGGGTACTGTAACGGAAAAAAAGAGGATTATCATGCACTTGAGAGCCAGAAAAGTACCAATGGCGATAAAGAATCCCAGTCAATTACTATAGGATGCCAAGTAGAACAGATGACCTGTCAGCATTATGATGAATTGATAAATCAGGGTTTTAGAAGATCAGGAACATTTTTATATAAGCCAGATTTATTAAGAGGATGCTGTCGATTGTTCACTATCCGGACTGATATCAATCAATTGAAGGTGACCAAGGCCCACAGAAAGACTATCAACAGATTCATAAGAGGCATACTAGATGAAGAAGAATCTAAAGAGGGAAATAAACATTTTGACTTGCATTCTCTAGTCAAGGCAGAGCAAAAATCAAAAAGATTTTATACTAGGTATGAGCCATCTAAATTTTCGAAAGAAAAGTTTGAATTGTACAAGAGGTATCAAGTGCATGTCCATAATGACGAACCAAGCGAGGTCACTGAACGATCTTTCAAGAGATTCCTCTGTGACACGCCATTCCCTGAGAAAGAAGTGATGGGATCACTGGGAGATTGGGATACATTGAACCACTGGGTAAAGAAGTGGCAGCCCGAAAATAACTCTCCAAGCCATAGAGTTGGCCCTACTCATGAATGCTACTATCTCGATGGAAAATTGATAGCCATTTCTATATTGGATTTTTTGCCGACAGGGGTATCATCTATATATTTCATCTGGGACCCCGACTACGCCCATTTGTCGCTTGGCACTCTATCGGGCCTCAGAGAAATCATCATGTGCAACGAGTTGCAACTCGGATACTACTATCTAGGCTACTACATAGACGATTGCCCCAAAATGAGCTATAAACTGAAGTTTGGCGGCGAGCTTCTCGATCTATGCAATGAGGTGTACTTCCCATTGCCCGCAGTAAGCGATTTCATCAAAAATGGTCGTTTTTTCGTCGTAGGAGATGCTGCTAACTCAGACAACGATGCATACTCTCACGAGCTTGAATTGGAAAATACAGGCCATCCTGTAGATGTTTCTGCCTCTGAATTCCACAATAAGGCCCTAGTAGATGTGAGTGAGAAAATCTACGCGAACGACTCTATCTACGACGATGCCAAAAGTGCCCTCGCCATCTTGCAAAAATCGTATGGTATTGGCTCTGCATCTGACGCAGTCTACAGGTTACCACCAGTGGTTCCAGGAATCATTCCCCTTTGGCAAATACTTGAATGGTTTCATTCGGGAGCCATTGACAATGGTTTGCCAGTTTCCATATTTACAATGATGACAGCAGACCTCAAGGAATGTGATTTTGGTCAGCTTAACCCAATAGGGAAATCGATTGTTATTGACTGCATTAGATTATTTGGTTTAGAGAAGTTCCAGGATTGTATTATTTTGGTCTAATAGTGTGACTCAATCCATTGTAGGAAATCAAAATTTCGCAATCAATGGACATAAGTCACCCCACACTTTTTTCATTTGGTCATAAATCAAGGCTCAAGTATAAATAGGGGAGGCAATAAGCATATTTTATAAGTTAAATAAACTAACAACATCAAATTGCATAATTATATATCATATATTATTTCAATAAATACAAAATGACAAGAACAAACAAATGGACAGTACATGAAGCGAAATCGAATTCTAAGTGGTTCACTCATCATGGCCCAATCAATTGTGATCCAACAAAAGTTAAGAAGCTGGGAGCAGGAAAGGGAAACTGGGGTAAGCCTGGAGATGAAATGAAAGATGACTCAGATATGAATATGGTAACTATGTTCGGACAATCGGAAAGAAGGAATTCAAATCATAGTCAGAATGAGCAAGATATGAAAATGCTTAATGAACAGTTAGACCATTCCATGTTTACTATGTAGACATCGCATACTAGGACAGGTATGTTATGCTGTACCACGTATATACAGCATCAGTTACGAGATACGATTTATGAGTATGTTTATAGTAAGTAAAAATTACATAAATAAATATAAATGATTTACGACGATTTCAGACGCGATTGTTCTTCTAATCTAAGTTTTGCTTCGTGATCGGCCTTCCATCCTTTGGCCTTTTGCCTGGCTTCATAGGCTTCTTTATTGCCCAACACTCTGTGGACAATGAACTCGGTATTAATATTGGAGAATTCGTGAGGGCCAATTTCTTTGAAAAGGCCTTTATCTTTAACTTCAGCGTATGGCTCTTCTTCCACTGGAGTTGGACCGTGGTACACAGCAGCTACCGTTCCTGGTAACTTTGATAAGAATTGGGGTGTTGGCGAAAAAGGGGCTCCCAAGACAATCCCATCGACATACTCACATTGCAATATACATAATGCTCTCTCAAAGATGTTCATAATTGGATAGTTGAGACCCTTGAATTCGTTAATGGTGCGATCGTCATGTACCCCCACGATGACAGCACAGTCATTTTTAATGGCATCTTGTTTAACAAGTCTCAAAGCTTCGATATGCCCAGGGTGGAACAAATCGAAGCCCCCATCAACGTAGGCAATTGACTTGTACTTGTTCAAAGTTTCCTTTGAAGGCTCAACCAATACATGCAATTCTTTATTAGAGTCGATGTTAAGATAAACGCCTGAACCTGGCTTCAAACCTGTTTTATCCGTAGCATATTGGGCGAATTTGTCCAAATTTTCTTTTTTTTCAAGTAAAATATGGCTGTTTATGTCATGAATTGGCTGGTAATGATGATCCTTACTCATCAATAACATTCTTCCAACCAAATCAGTGGTCAGAATGTTAGGTGTTCTTTTCACAACAACGAATTTGCCCAAGTCTTTAACTTCTTGATAGCAATCCTCCCCGTTGGCATCAGTTGTAATATCATCTCCATGTACAACATACTTGCATCCATATTCGTCCATTACCTTAGGGTCAGTCACATATGGAGCATCAGGAACTGACTGAGTAGACCATTTACATGCGTCAACAGCCTTGACTCTCTCCTTCAATGTCATAACAACAGGACCCTTATTCTTCAAAATCTCTTCATCTGAATGAATCCCTACATAAAGTTCCTTACCCAACTGACGTGCCTGTAGCATAGCACCTGCGTGGCCTTAATTTGGTTAGTGATTGCAATTTTAATTGAATAATTGTATAATAACAACATACCATGATGAACAAAGTCAAAACACCCATCCATCCATATTCTACAGTTTTCAATTCCTTCTGGCCTTTCGAACATTTTATCGTAATAGTAGTAACTTTTATTAAATATAAATAGTGAAATATTCGTACGGGAATTTATCGCGAGTATTACGGCAGTGGTGTTCTATATAAATCCCGATTGCTGTTGACTTCCAACCTTTATTCTGTTCGTATTATTGGTGGAAGACTTCTTTTTAGACGCAGATTTGCTCTTACTAGCGCCATTTTCCGACTGATAATTAACCAGTCTGGCAGTGTTGGTATAGGCTGGTTCCGGTGATCGTAAATCAATGTCCCCAGTGCCAACGTAGGTAGGTTGTTTGTTTTTTTCTCTTTCCAGTGCTACATAGGCAAAGTAATTGTATATCATGCCTGCATTTCTAGTCAGACACCCGTTTAACCAAGCAAAAAACCCTCCTATGACTGGTGGTAAACTTATAAGTAAATCAAATGCAATTTGTGATTCCATTTGTAAAACTAGCTTATTAGGGAGTTTATACTCATTGGTAACAATATGGATAAGCCTGGCATGCATCCCATACATCACTAGGGGTCCTAGCACAGGAAATAAGGCTACCACCAACGGAACCGATCCCAAACCGCAATCCATTCCAACCCCACAAGATCCAAGGAAACACTTATCGTGGACCCAGGCCGTACTTTGAACCCTCTTCCATACCTTTTGTTCTTCTTTAGTAGTATTTTTTGGCAACCGAAGCTTTTTTCCGTTCCCATCTTCATATGGATTTTTGCCCACTTTTATATGTTCTTCGGCATATTCGTTCCAATAATCCATGACAATGTCATATCCCGGCAATCCCTCAAGCTGATCTTGAACATTCGACATATTATTAAACTTTTTCACTACACTTAAGTGGTGTTAAGAATAGTATGGAATGATTCGAATTCGGATTGTATGGGGATCGAAAATATCTGAGCATACTGAATCAGTCGCAAACACCGGCAAGTGCCTATGTTACTCTATTTATTACCCTTATGACTAAACACACTATATACATTATGAAATAAGCTTCTCTAGCTCTTTTTTCAGAACAGGCGAACACACACCTCCCGTGTCTTTTCCACATATAAAGCAATTCGGTTTTTTCAAATTCCTATATCTATTCATAAAACACTTTTGGCAGAATAAATGGTTGCATTCAGTCTTGACTGGCAGACTGTAGTCCTTCGAACATATTACACAGCGATAGGGCATTTGTTCTTTCGATTTATCGGTTTTCTGTTGCACAGTGACTGTTTCCCACTCTTTTTCTATTGGCTTGCGTTGTTTCAGCTCATCTCTGATGTGAAGAAACTTACACGTATCACCATATCCACAATAACCTGTCTGAAGAAAATCCTTACACACATCTGGCTGAAAATCTGTGATGGTAGTGGTCTTAATGCTGATAGGTGGTGGCTTTATTGGTCCTACCGATTTTTCGCCAGCGGATTTGTCGGTGGTGGCCTGTTCCAAAGATGGATTAGATAATGCATTTGATTTATCAGAGGTTTGACCATGTTCCACGTCTCGTGTAGGCTTTTTAATGCTATTCATCGGCTTACGTTTCTTGATGCTGTGAGATGAGCTCTTGATTTTCTTCTCTAGTAAATCATCGGAGTCTGATTCGAAATCGTCGACATCCAATTTTCGCTTTGGCTTGGATACTGCCCCGTCTTCATTCTTCTTGACGGATCTTTTCTTAAACATGGCCCATTTATCGATGTAAAGGAACCTATTTGTAATGTATTGTTCTATATATGTAGATTAATCTAGAGGAGTTATGTACAGTACCGGACATAATTAGTCAAAACTTGCTTTTAGAATGAAATATACCATACTATATCGATAGCTCATTCAAAAATGTTACGGAAAGCATATGGGTATGCTCCTCGAATGGGGATAAGACTAGTGCATTCACGATTGTATTCGAAAGCTACGACAATCAAGTCATATTTTGATTTATTTCCGCAGACGTTTCCAGATCATGGACCCCCAAATGAATCATTTATGATCAACCCAAGACGACTCCGTAGGGAGTATAGAACATTACAAAGTGAACATCATCCAGATATAGTTATTGGATCTGCAGCATTATCGAAACTGACTGATAATGCAGTGGACGATAAGTTTTCATCGTTGTTGAACAAGGCCTATTCGACCATCAGCAACCCATACTCAAGAATTGCCCATTTGATTGAACTAAATCATCCGGATCACTTGGATATCACACAAGACGATATATCGAAAAAATTAATCTCAGACTTTCAGTCCTCGTCAGATGAGAGATCCCTCGAATATAAAAATATGCTCATGATGGTTTTAGAAGCACACGAGTCATTGGAATTAGCTACCCAAGATCTGGATTTGGAAGCATTGAGTGAAGAAAATGACGAGAGAATTGATGAGAGTGAGGAGGCAATCGAGCAGTTGTTACAGAAGAAACCACTTGATTGGAATGACATTATGATGGAAGCGGTTAGATTGAAGTACTGGATTAACATACAAAAAGGCATTAAAGATTGGGAGCCAGGTAAACCTGTCAACATTACCCATTAATGTCGTTAAGTTATGAGTTTTATCATATAGTAACAAGTAGATACTAAAAAGTTTAAATGTAAATTTTTATATTAATATATGGATCGTATGTTACATAAGTATAAGGAAAAGTAGATTACAAACAGAAATAAATGGATTAATTTCCTTCACTAGCCATAGTTTTGTCATCATCATCGTTATCTTCTGGGTCGCCCATTTCACTGTCAGAATTGTATTGGGCATCTGACTCATCAAATTCACTAGGTATGCTTAATTCACAGTTGTTGAATTCCTCTTTTTCTTGAGACGTACGTGGATGCAACCTGAGCCATTTCATTCTTGGACCACTAGCGCTTAGCTCACTAATTTGAAATCCAAATAAACGAAGCCCAAAATCATCTTGGTTAACTTTGTACACTCTATTTCTGCATTGATTTTCAATTTCTGGAAACATCTTCACCAATAACCCAGGAAATGTGGTCCCAAAAAAGGCCCCGTCAATATTGAGGTATCTAGAGCTCAGGGGAAGATAAATATCATTACAGCATGGACAGTATAATCTTACAGTCTCTTGTCCCGGTATATCTGTAGATCCCACCGGTATCAAATGCATTCCATCACAGTAGTATCTTGGGCACGACCCAAACTCATTACGTTCAAATTTGCTAGCCATAGCTGTTAATCCTGGCTTAGAAATTATATAACGGGCATGAATTAATCCATATAATAATTCCGCTGAATGTGCTAGTAATGCCTTGTTTGGGAGTTCGTTTTTCGACCCTTTGGTATTAGATGTTCCATTTCCGCTTCCATTATCATCAGCAGTCTCCACTTGGTAGTCTAATATCGTGTATAATGCTTCTCTATAATATGGAACTTGCAGGGATAATCCTGTTAAATTAAAATCATCTTCAATAAAGTCTTGTGATACTGGCACAAAATAATCATGTCCAAACAATTCACAAAATTGTTGAATCCATGGAATATAATCTTCTTCTGGATCGCTAGACATCGTTGATGTTATTTGTTGAATGAACAATGTATGTCCTACTCTTTTTATCTCATCTGCTAGTCGTTTTGGTTGAGCAAAAGTGTTTTGTCTCACCAAAATTCCCAAACACCTTTTGTGTAATTTTCACTATACTATTTGGTCCAGTACTATCAAGAATCACTTCAAGTCCTACCAATACCAAATAGCGTTGGAAGGAGTATATTAAGTGAAAAATTGCAATTGAAGTACTAATATGTTTGACATAAGTCCTTCGAATTTGTTAATCAGTGTATTGGTTGTTCTTTTTGCTAAACAATTGATCAATGCAATCGGTAAAGCTACCTTAGAGAATATTGGATGGTCAGCATACTGTAAGGTTGCCCCTAAGTTAGGGGACTCAAAATTCATCGAATTGGATCAAAAGAGAAGTGAGTTGGCAAAGGTATCGAAGGAGAAAAAGTCAATAAGTGCCCAGGATCAGTATGCTAGATGGACCAAATTGAACCGTCAGTCTGATAAGCTTACAGTGGACATCAATAAGTTGAAAGAAGAAACATCCTCATCTAGAAGCTACATTAATAAGTACATTGGGTATGCGATCCTTGTTACCACGACTTTACCTATTTGGTTCTTTAGAGTGTGGTTCAGAAAAGCCGTATTATTTTACTTCCCTACTGGAGTGTTACCATACCATGTCGAGTGGTTTTTGGCATTACCGTTTATCACCACCGGCGGAGTAGGCTTGACAATATGGATGACTGCCGTCAACAATGTCATTTCGTCAGTTATTTTTTTGATTAAGTTCCCATTCGAGAAAGAGGTACCATATCCATCGCAAGAAGTGGAAAAAGAGAAATCGTCAATTAATAGAGAAAAGGTATCGGGAACGCCAGTTGCAAAGTAATTAGCTAGGCTTATGGAATTTGATACTATTGACAACTATATATATATTATGCTATTTGTCCTGCAAGTTCTATACTTTGTTTGAACCTTGCCTCCATAACTTTCTGTAGTTCATTAGCTTCTTCCGTATTGTTGAATATATACAACCCGATCTTGGATCTTTTGACGTCTTCTCCGAAAGACTTGTAACTTTTATGTAATAATGAATCAACGCAATTTCCTGCCTTAAACGAAGAAACCAGTGCCTCAGCTAGAGCAAGGAAATACCAAGGGTCTACTACTTTTATCCAGACCATTAAATCCAATGAGAATTTATATACATCATTGTTATCTTCCAACATAACCAATGGAGACCCATTTTGAGGATCAATATCGAGCTTTCTCACATTAGGTATCACCAATTGAGGTATATTTGCGTGTCTTTTGTTCACATTTTTCTGATCTATGGTTGGAACTTCAACATTACTATTCAAAATGGGTGCCAAAGCTATTCCTCTAACAATACCTGTAAAAAATCTTTGGGTAGGTAAATTAGGTAATTTCCAGACATAGATTAGTCCCTGATTTGTGATGCACATGAGATAATCGCCTCCCTGCTTTAACAATACAACATTGCTTCCTACTTCCATTCCAGGACTAACAAGCTTTCCTGTCTTAGCCAGAACTATTTGTATTGTTCCGTTAAATGAAGCGAATACATAAAATATAAGTATTTTATCCTTGATTATGGGTAATACATGCTGTATTTTATATGGGAAGAATAATGTATAGCTTCTTTTAGCATGATTTTGATTATTGGAAACTATTACACTTGTTGGATCCTGGAAATCTATTCTATTTCCATATTCAAAATCTGTTAAATCATCTTCAATGTCTTTCCAGGATGGCCCATTACGAACTTCCACAACGGATGTAATCGATGAAGCCTGCGTATCATTAATTATCGTGTCTTTAGGATCTTCGATCGATTGAATCCCGTTGACTATAACAGAGAATAATAAATCTTCATCAATTGCATCAATTGAACTACCACTTATTATTTCATTATTATTCTCCTTGGTACTGTTGAAATTATTATTTAAAATTTGGTTTACTTTACTGTTCAATACTGCTTGGTTATTGAATAAGTTGTCCGGTAAAGTTGAAATTAATTGGAAACAACTTGGGTATCTTGTTTCTAATATCGCACGTTTTATCTTATTCCTTTGTCTCCTTAATGTAGCTTCTGAAACACTTTGGCTCGAGACGTCTTTACTATTATCGTTGGCTTTAGTTGAGTCAATACCCATATCTTCATTATCATTATCTTGGTCATCATTATTGGCTTCATTTGAGTGATTAAATTCATGTACTAAATTTTTCAGTTTTAACCCTTGTACTGATGTCAGAACCCCCAATCTAGGTAAGAAATATGATGTCTGCGATAATTTCGATCCAATCTGGAATTTCTTAGTGACCTTTCCACTTGTACCTAATACCGGTACTGAGCTTTTGGACGAGGAAGATACCAATAACGGAGCGACTCTTTTCTTCCCATTTTTTGTAATAGTAATACTTTGAGTCAATTTGTTTACTTGCTTTGGTGTCAAATTATTAAGTTTAGGACTTAATTCTTTGGGTCTTACTTCCTCTGGTCTTGATTTCAAAATCGTTGTTGGCGGCTTTGCAATGGCTATTTTCTTACTTTCTTGATACTCTGTAGCTTCAGATTTTTCCTCTAAAACTAATTGTTCAACACTTTCGGGGAATGTAGCGGACTCTCTATCAGCACCATATCTGTGCAATTGCAAATCATTCATATTTTCACTAACAACTTTTCCCAATTCATTATCATCAAATGAAACACAAGTAATTGATCCATCCAAACAACTGAAATATAAGGTTTGACCATCTGGGGCCCAACATATATCTGTTATAGAGCCTGAAACTATGTCGTGAGCTACTACTAAAGGTTTACTTTGTCTCGTAGTCCAAATTACAAGATTCTGGTCTTGCCCAGCAGTTGCCAATATAGTAGTGAAATTTCCCATTCCATTTTTATTCTTCTGTGAATCATTGTCTTTATCATACTCAAATAGCCTAGGTGAAAAGGAACATACTTCGCAAGGGGCCTCATGTCCTATTAATGATATATCTGTACCCCAGTTAGTTCTATTGATTATGGCAACAGATGTAACAGGTCCATTAGTTGCATTAGGTACAGCAATGTGCTGACCGTCCGGCGACCATGACATCCTTCGGAAGTATGAGGTCAAAGGTGATTTCTTGAATGGGTCTATAACAATGTGCTCCATTTGGAATTCGTAGTTATTAATTGACAGTTCACTCAATTTCCTATAATATCTGAATATTCTAACAGACCTATCGTCTGATGCAGTAGCAAAAAATTTGTTTGCTGGATCGAACACTATACCCTTGACCATTGATTGATGAATATCGTACCTCTTAATTCTTTCAAATGTAAGACCATTCCAGATGATGATCAGTCTATCTAGACCTACAGTAACTAACAAAGATCCATCAGGCGACCAACATATATCTTGAACATCATTATCGTGGGCGACTAACCTTTTTCTAACAGTCCAATGTTCTAAGTCAGCTTCTGCTTCACCAAATTGTTTTGGGCGGTTCGCTTGTTCTTCATCCTTCTCCCAGATTAATACAATCTTATCATCTGACCCAGATGCTAAAAATCTACCATCGGGGGAAAATTTAACACTTGTGACGACCCCATTATGACGACTCATAGAACATAATGGTCTTCGTATTATGTCTGAATTTAATGTATCAAGATTTATACCATTTTTGATACTCTTTGCAACAGGTTCTGCTTCGTAGTTTTTAAAATGAAGAATTGATTTGGTATCCCATATTTTAACATTTCCATCCAATCCGCCGGATGCTAATCTTGATCCATCTGAGTTGATGCTCACTGAGTAACATTCAATTTGTTTATTCTCAGCTGGAAACCGTTAGTATCATTATCACAATATACATAAAGTATCAATTTATTATAGTACTTACCTTTATGACCAAACCAGGGAAGCTTAAGGATATGCATTTGTATAATCAAGTTACTGTAAGAATAATCAATATTACTATATACATCTACATATATTTAAGTATGTTGATACGCGCACACAATATGGCTTTTGATATTTTGTATTCTAGAGATTAAGTACCAAATTAATGTAGCCTATATATAGATATTTAATAGTCTTAGAGACCATATTCAATCTTAACCGCTTTACCGAATTTTTCTAATCCTATGACTAATTGATCTAACGGAACGGCAGCATATGTACCCCTAAAGAAGAAGGTGTTCTTGTTTTCAGGATTTTCTGGCAATTCGGGTTGTGGTGGATTTGATTCACCTTGGGTCTTGAACCACGAGCCAGGAATCATCAAACAACCTTGTTTCAAGGCTTGCTCGTAAATAGCGTTTTCAACTTGAAGTGGGTCTTCGTTAAACTCGGTTTTGAACTTAGGGTGCTTGGAAGCATCGATAGTAGTAGTGAAGAACATACCGGCCACTGGTGGGACAAATGTCACAACTTCTTTAGGGAAATACTTGTTAACTGCATCAATAGCGACGTCTCTCTTGTGCGTATATTCAGCACGTAAGCCAATTAACCAATCCAAGTAACCCTTGTGACCCCACTTTTGTAACAACGCATTAGTAAGAGATTGAGTAAAACCAGATGGACATTGGATAGAAACTTCATGGATTCTGACAAATCTCTCGAGTAATTTGGCTTGTCCGACAATCCAACCAAATCTTAAACCAGGTGCCAAAACCTTAGAAAATGAATCTAATCTAATAACTCTACCCTCGACATCAAGGGATATATAGGACGGAACTAAAGCCTTGACGAATTCGTCATGGCTATTGACTTTGTTGTTTTCTCTTTTCTTTTCGTCGGTGGTATATTCTTCCATTTGCAAGAAGTAGTAAGGTTCGTCTTCAATGATGATGAAATCATGCTTACAAGCCAATTCGTAGATGGCTTTTCTTCTTTCAGCAGAAATACAAGATCCAGTTGGATTCTGACCGGTACAAATAGTGTATAACAATTTTGGCTTTGGCCCAACCCATTGATCTAACTGCTTTTCTAATGATTCTGGAAGAATCCCCTTTGCATCCATTGGAACTGGAATAGTATTAACTCCCTGTGCATGCGCAGTTTCCAATGCCGAACTGAAAGAATATTCTTCAACCAAGATCGAATCGCCTCTAGTGACAAACGATCTCAAAGTGGCATCCCACGATTGCGTGTTACCAACAGATGCAATAAGATCCCAGTCCTTATATGGAACATTGTGAATTTGCTCGGTGTGTTCCTTTAAAAAATCAATAATCTCTGTATGGCCCTCGGTGTGTCCGTATTGCAATGATCTGGATAATTCGACCTGCTTGTCTTCTGCCTTGTTCATCTCGGCCTTTTTGTACACTTCTATAACACTTTTATCTTCATCACTAATTGTGGCACCAATACCATTTGGAAATGGTGCCGATGGAATATCTGCAGTCACTTTGTTGAATGGAAAGTAATCTGACAATGGTAATCCACCGCCCAAGAATGTCATTCCCGGTTGTTTGTAATACTTGAAAGCAGCTTTCAATGGAGAATTTTTTCTCGACTTAGCTTCTTCACTTAATAAGTGGCTCAAATCTTTAGCTTCTGGTTTAGACATCTCTTTTTGCTGTTAAACTCTTGTATCTTACAAATAGACGAAAGAGTAGAATTGGCGTTCTTATATAGATATGAGTAATAGATACGGTAACCTGCAAAATTATGAAACCCGAGAAAAATTACAGGTTAGTTTTTGGGGCCATCTTCGGCATTATCAAAAAACGCCTATCATCATACATAAGTAGGACAATAGGTCAAAAAGGGTGTAAAATGGGGAGATTACGCCATTTAGGTGTTTATTAAGCATTATTAAGTATACAGATAATATACAGGCTAGCGGAGTTGCAGAAATGCATCCAATAAGACAGATGAGGGTGGCTCATCGTTCTTATTTTTATCAAAAACATTCCAAAACCTTAAGGTTTCATCACCAGCACCGGTTACAATTGTTTCCCCATCTGGTGATAGTGATAAGTACAAGACTCTGTATGTATGTCCGGTTAATTGAGCTATTTGCTGCATGGACGGATATTTCCACACAATGATTTGGTTTCTGGAGAATCCATGGGTGGAGACCAATTCGTTTGAATTTTTGGACCATATTAGGTTGCATACTTGTGATCCCGTATTCACATTGTTTGTCAACGAGCCGGTTAGGGTGTTCCAGGTTTTGATAGTTTTATCAGCAGTTCCTCCGCCAGATGCGAGAACGCCTCTTTGATGAGGAGACCAAGAGATGGCCTTGACGGCAGCAGTGTGGTCATTGAACTGGTATAGTGGCTTTGTGTTCAACCCATCCCAGATGAATAATTTATTATCGTTACCACCGCTGGCCAATTTGTTCTCCTCGACGTTCCACTTCAAACCGCACACCTCTTGTTTGTGGGCTTCGAACTTGTTGACATAATGGTTTTCGATCCGGACATCTCTATTGAGAATTGTTCTGTCTCTTGAACCGCTCGAGAGAATGTGTTCGTTCCATGCCAACGAGCTTACTCGTAAACTGTGACCTGTCATTGTTCTGACACACTTTATTTTTGTAGCATCCCATATCTCAACCAAACCCTTCAGTGTACCTACTGCTAAGTGTGTTCCAGATCCAATCCAATTAATGCTAGTAACCTTATCTTTGTTGGATAAATTGCACAATCTGTCGACCGATTGCGTGCTTCCATCCCAAAGATACACACTATCACCAAGGCCAACGGCTAAAATGTCCTGTTGACCCCAGTCGACGAGATTGAGATAAAAGTCGTCCGATAATTCCGGTGCATCTAGCACCCTATAGGGAACTTTCGAAATATTTCTGGGTTTCTTCTGCGGCGATAGTAAAAGTTTTTGCGATTCTTGTCTGACAGGAGACAACGAGTAAAGTTCATTCTGTAAGTCTCTAGATACAGGCCTATTTTTTTTAGGAGATTGGTACGTAAACAAATTGGCAGTTTGTCTTGGGGTATTGGTGATGCTATTGGAATCGTGGTTTGTTGTAGTATTGACCGAGCCAGAGGCGAGGGAGTTGTTGCTAGCATTATTTCTGGTAGACCGTGGTGGTGTGATTCTAGTATTACCTGTAGTACTCTCATCTCCACCAGTGCTGGAATTATCAGGCATGCCTGAAGATCGAATTGAATGTAGCGAAGAAGACGACGCAGTAGAGTTTAAATTGCCCGTGCTATTGGGCCTACTGTTCGACACCTTAGCTGGTTTGCTCAAATTTGCTGTTGCCATAGGTACATTGTCACCAAATAATTCTGCCTTTAAAATCGTTGAAAATGTCTGGTTTGCCTCTTCTTCTTTTCTTATTTCAATCTCATTGTCTATTCTATCTTGTCTATTCTTGATCTCTGGCAATATTTCCTGATTTGACAAACTGAATGCTGCCTGTAAATCTATTCCCGTACGGTTGGGAATATATCTGTCACTAAATATCGACTTTTGGTTTCTTCGTCTTGGAGATGACGATGGTAATGCACCACCATCGTTTAACTTGGGCGGTTCCAAATTCCGAGTAGACCTAGATGGAGATCTCGGAGTCTCTAGATTGTTCCTATTCGATGTATTACCATTATTTACAATACTCCTACCGCTAGCAGTATTGTTTCTGCTATTATTCATAATCCAATCGTGAAAGGTTGGAAGACGCTTCTATTGATAAGAAGGTGTTTTTTGGCTATTAGTCTGTGTGAAATTCGAGAAAATGAATAAAAAAATATATCCTTATTGACACCTGTTGTGATTCCAAACCTGATAGAATGCTTTCTGTATTTGATTTACCTAAATCGATAATTAAATCATGTAGCCCACTTTCAACTAATTTGTGGTGGTTTACTATGGAAGAGGTTTGGTGAGCAAAAGGGACCAAACACGTGATTAGAAATAGTAGTAACAGGTTTATAGCAAAGATAAAGGTGTTTAGATAATGTTATTAGGTAGGTAGTCCAGGGAGATAAAGTAGAACGTTCTGAAAGGAAAGACGTTATGGAATGTGATCTAATTTAGGGATTAGGTATTGTAGACTTTAAATGAGATGTGAAAAGGATATTATGAGTCCCGGGAAGCAATACCATAAGGAATTATTTCTGTGGACTGTAGGAATCATGTGTCGTAATGGACCTTTCTTGTATGACAGGATATAAGCTACTGATACGGGTATGTTTGAAGATAAAATGGGGTATTGTATGACACTATGGGTATTTAAAAAGTGGAACACCCTGTATATAGTCAAGAGTGGGAATTTATTGCCATGGACTGATCTGGTAATACCAATGAAACCTGATTCAACGACAAAGCTAGGTGTAGTTGTATAAAAGAGATCGACTGGTGACTTAAGTCTTGGATTCATCAACTAATGTACACGATATGCAATTAGTGTATTTATTGGTAGCCATAGGCATTTATGGCCAGGTTTTCGCAGCCTCTCGAGGATACATCGCTGTGCCTTTAGAGAGATCATCGGACTCCATGTACTACATTGAGTCACTCATGATTGGGAAAAGTAAACAGCAATTGAAGAAGGTGATATTAGATACTGGCTCGGCGGATGTGGTGCTAACTGGATCAACGTATAAATATGAGAAGTCGCTCTTTTACCCCGAATATGTCGCACAGTACGGGTCATCAGACCCATTTCATATGTTCCAGCAAAATGGTACTATTTCGGGCAATGACTGGATATTACAGGGATTCACGTTTGGAGTGACAAATGTAACAAACATCGATTCGTTCTATGGGGTGTTTGGGGTCGGCTACCCTTCGATTGAGGCCATGGATCCGTACGAGAATTTTCCAATGAAGCTCGAGTCGCAAGGACTTATCGACTATCAAATATACAGTGTTTCAGGAAGATCTGGTGACAGTAATATCGTATTTGGTGGCATTGATACCGGTGCCTATAAAGGTCCGTTAGTCAAAACGCAGATTGGGTTTGAGGTAGGTCCCCTGTCGACTCGACAATACCACACTGTCACTGCTGTGACCGTCTCAGCTATCAAAATCGCAACCCACAACACCAGAACGTCAATTTCAACCCAAAAACTCATATATACCCTAGATACAGGCTCCAACGGCCTCATGATCCCCGAACCAGTCTACACTAATTTACTCACTGCAATTCACGCCAAAAAGCAATGGCAAGATGATACCCCGTTCTTTCAAAAAGATGCCCTTGCCGCCGAATTTCTCACCTTCGACATCACCGGATTCCTAGTCTCCATCCCCCTCACCGACTTGATCGACGAATGTACTGCTATGCGTGGGTCTCAATACTGCTCGCTCAGAATCGGTATTATTAATATCGGCACAGACTCCTATGTTGCAACCCTCCCCAATAGTATTTTCAAGTACATATACACTGTGTTTGATCTACAAGCCAATCAAGTATTCATGGCCCCTTACGGACCAGCAGCCTCCAAATCCATCAAACAAGTTTCCAACACCCATTTTCCCGTCGAAACTACTACCGCACCTAATTATGATGACATCTACAGAACCATGTATCAAACTTCTGACGAAACAACCATTCAAAGGTCCTCCTCTACCAAAATTTGTCGAAGATGAACTTTCTATACGTTTGTATAGCCATTCTCTTACCCCCACTAGTCGGTATTTTGCATCCATTTAGGTCCTCACTGCGAACAACTTTTTTAGTACGACGTGCGAAAACCACGAAAAATCGAGTGGGTCTCATTAAGCCAATCATTGTCGTTTAAATCAGGTTTACGCTCTGTGAAAAAGTACAATAGAGCTCATTAGTTTATAAAACTTCATAAACAGTTTGAAAATACTTGGCTAGTAACTGTCTTAGGATAATAATAGTGGACTAAAAATAATATATTTAAGATATTTGTACATATTTCACCTTGAAAAGTAGATATCCATAGCTAATTGTCCTTCATAAACCTATATTTTTCAATTCAGGAAACAGTTGTACAGAAATATTAATAATAATTGCATAATGTTCCGTTTTATTCCAAGAAGTGTCCAAAACAACACATACAGATCTGTGGTCAATAAGAGGTTCTCTTCGATCATTTCTGTTCACAGAGATTCCAAGGAAGACAATAAAAATATGAGTTTCGAGTTCAACTCCGAAAACATCAAAAGAGCAGATGAAATTATTGCCAAATACCCACCTCAATATAAAAAGGGTGCCGTTATGCCATTATTGGACTTGGGTCAACGTCAAGTTGGTTTCACATCGATTGCGGTGATGAACTACGTCGCCAAGTACTTGGACATGCCACCAATGAGAGTGTACGAAGTTGCAACCTTCTACACCATGTACAACAGAAAACCAATGGGTAAATACAACATCCAAGTGTGTACCACCACCCCATGTCAATTATGTGGTTCCGACGAAATCATGGATGCCATCACGTCGCACTTGAAGATTAAGCCAGGCCAAACCACTCCAGATAAGTTATTTACCTTCCAAGAAGTTGAATGTTTGGGTGCGTGTGTCAACGCACCAATGTTGGCTCTTAACGACGACTACCACGAAGACTTGACAGCAGAAAAGACTGTGGAACTTTTGAAGACAATTCAAGCAGGTAAGGAACCAAAGGCTGGTCCTGTCTCTGGTAGAGACACTTGTGAGCCATTCTCGGGCGCAAAGGTCTTGTTGGGCGAAAAGCCATTCGACATCAGAACAGTAACCAGATCCGACTTATAGAGTCGTTGTTTGCTCAGTTTTGTTCATCGTTGATGATAATGCATTCAGTTAGATAGTTAACTAGATGACTATTTAGTACTTATATAGTAATAACATATACATATTTTTGAGTTGAAAAGTGTTCGTATACTGATCAGAATATGTACCTGAGTCGTATGTGGTTAATACTCCCACCTATTACATCTCCCCAAGCTCCTGATCCAAGCCTAATCACCACATAGAGCTCTTCTTCCTCTTCACTATACTTGATAGAAATTTGGTATTTACACGCTGATTGCATCATTCCCGGTGAACCGCTAATCGAGAAAGTTGATAAAAGTATGAGTCTTAGAGGGTAATTTTAATAAATTTTTCATTTTATTACATATACAGAGATGGCACCACCCAAATCGTATAACATAGAGACAGAATTAGTCTTTTCGAAGTCAACGGACCAGCATAATGCTTCGGTCCCACCGTTATATCAGTCCGCGACGTTCAAGCAAAATTCGTTATCGGATATGGGCGAATACGATTATACTAGGTCTGGAAATCCAACAAGAACATATTTGCAAAATCATATTGCTAAGATCATGAAAGCTGACCATGCATTCGCAGTTACAAGTGGTATGGGATGTCTTGATGTTATAACCAGAATTTTAAAGCCGGGCGATGAAGTAATGGCCGGAGATGATTTATATGGGGGAACTAACAGATTATTGACATATTTGAATAAGAAGGGAGACTTAAAAGTGCAACATTGGGACACTACAAACACCGAATTATTTACTTCAAAGATAACTGAAAACACCAAGATGATTTTTCTTGAATCACCTACCAATCCGTTAATAAAGGTCTGCGATGTCAAGGCTATTACTGATTATGCGCATAGAAAAAACCCAGATGTGGTCGTCGTATTCGACAACACAATGATGTCGCCAATATTGATGACTCCTCTTGACTTAGGAGTTGACATTCAGTACGAATCTGCTACCAAGTACCTTAACGGTCACCACGATATTATGGCAGGGGTCATTGCTACCCGTGATGCGAAATTGGCCGAAAAATTGTACTTTGTTATCAACTCCACCGGTTGCGGATTATCGCCATTTGACTCATGGTTATTGAGCAGAGGTTTGAGAACTCTTGCTGTAAGAGTCGAGAGACAGCAACAAAACTGCCAAAAGATCGCCGAGTTCTTGTCCAGTATAGGATTCAGAGTCAGATACCCGGGATTGAAAAGCCACCCTCAATATGAATTACATGCGTCTATGTGTAGGGGGGCCGGTGCCGTTATAAGTTTTGAAACCGGCAGCATCAAGACATCGGAAAAAATTGTCGAAAACACAGATATTTTTGGTATTGCTGTTTCGTTCGGGTGCGTAAACTCGTTGATCTCCATGCCATGTAAGATGTCACACGCTTCTATCGATGCTAAAACCAGAGAAGAAAGAGATTTCCCTGAAGACTTAATCAGATTGTGCATTGGTATTGAGAACTCCGACGACTTAATTAATGACTTGACAAAGGCTTTATTAAAGAGCGGTGCCGTCAAGATTAACTCCAAGGATGAATTATTCAATGCTGTATCAGTTCAACCAAAGTTATAAGTGGGTTATTTCATGAGTTCTTTACTGGTTAAATTTCAGTTCATATGTAGCATTTGTCTTTTGAATGCTATCTTTTCTAAATATTCCCGAATTTTTCTACATATAGATAAGAGAACCTTACAATATGGACTTGTCATATACGTTTACATACATTTACATACATTTCAAATTTATTAAAACTTACTTTCATTCAATAGTTATTGGCAGATGTTTTCGGTCGCGTCTATACATACATTTTGGGTGGCGCGTTACAAAACATATATACTCTTCTTTCTTTCTTTTTAACCTTTATAATAGAGAATAAACAATCGATCATGGCCGAAGCATACGGACTCTCATCAGGAGCTTTGAAAGGAATTCTTTCAAAGACCGAAAGACATTTATTCGAAGGTAAACCAATTACAGTACAAGTTACTAATATTAAAATAATTGATCAATCTCTTGAGAGTGGTAACGGCGATTCAGCAGTCAAATACCGAGTTTTACTTAATGACGGAGCCTACTCGTTACATGGATTAATCACTAGTGAGTGCATCCCTTACTGTGAAGCTAACGGGTTCAAAAAAACGTCGGTCATAATTATCAAAGACTATAGCTTGGTCACCACTCAGAAGCATATTATGATCATTAATGACTTAGAAGTGAAGTTTCAAACCAGTAATAAAGCTACGAATACTTTGATTTCATGTGATTCTTATTATGCTGAGCACCCAGATGATGATTATTTAGAATTAGCTAATAAGAGCCAAAAACAAGAATCTGGAGAATCAAACCAAGCCAAACCACCTCAACAACAGCAACAACCTCAGCAACCTCAGAAGACAAGCACGTTTCAACAAAGACACGTCAATGCTATTGAACAATTATCGCCATATCAAAACCAATGGGTCATTAAGGCCAGAGTTTCTTACAAAGGTGATATTAGAAAGTGGTCTAACGCGCGTGGTGAAGGTAAATTATTCAATGTCAATTTCTTAGACGAATCTGATGAAATCAGAGCCACTGCTTTTAACGATTTAGCTGAAAAGTTTTACAATGAATTGGAGGAAGGAAAGGTTTACTATATCAGTAAAGCCAGAATTCAACAAGCCAAACCCCAATTTTCACACTTAAGCCATCCTTATGAATTGGCATTGGATAGAGATACAAATGTAGAAGAATGTTTTGATACAACTGATGTTCCAAAAATTCATTTTAATTTTACCAAATTAAACCAAATTGAAAGTTGTGAACCAAACTCAATCATTGATGTGATAGGTGTTTTAAAAGAAGTAAATCCAGTTTTCCAAATCACTGCAAAGTCAACAGGAAAACCATTCGATAGAAGAAACATCACCATTGTAGATGATTCCAATTTTGCAATCACTGTTGGATTATGGAATAATACAGCCGTTGATTTCAATACTGGCGAAGGTTCAGTCATTGCCTTTAAGGGTTGCAAAATTCAAGATTTTGCTGGAAGATCATTGACATTAACACATGCTGGTTCTATGATGGCAAACCCCGACACCACTGAGGCATATCAATTGAAAGGATGGTTTGATAATCAAGGTGTCAATGAAAATTTTAAAACCCTAAAGAATGAGAGTAGCTCTAACCAAAATTTAATTAATAATAGGAAATCTATATTACAAGCTCAAGAAGAAAACTTAGGTATGAGTGAAAAACCAGATTTCTTCAACATTAAGGCAACTGTCAATTTCTTTAAAACAGAAAACTTTTGCTACCCAGCTTGTAATAATTCATTACAATCTAGTTCACAGCAACCATCTTCAACATGTAATAGGAAAGTCGTTGAACAACCTGACGGTACTTGGAGATGTGAAAAGTGTGACATCAATTTCAACGAGCCCCATTATAGATACATATTGAACTGTTCCGTTATGGACGCTTCCGGTCAATTATGGATGACTTTATTTGACCAAGAGGCTATTAAGCTCTTTGGTAAAACTGCTGGTGAGTTGTTAGCTATGAAAGAGAAACAAAATAATAATGAAAGTAATGAATTTCAAGATTTGATCAACGAAATTACGATGAAAGAATTCAACTTCAGATTAAAAGCTAGACAGGACTCTTACAATGGTGTTGTAAGAGTAAGATACCAAGTTATGACTATTAATGATGTCGACTTTAATGTAGAGTGTGAACATTTATGTTCAGAATTAGATTCAATGTTGCATTAGTCAGTACTCTACCAAAATTTGTTTTTAATATTCCTATGTATATGTTTTATTAGTTACGATTAAATATAAATAATTTAAAAACTTCGACTATTAAATTCGATTAATCCATTAAATTGCAACCAAATTTGTTTCAATATATCATTTGCTGATCGTTGACCTCTTGTTGTCATTATCTTATTAATTAAAAGATCTATGCTTTTTTCATCCAATTTCTCATTTTTTATTTCTTTAAAGGCTACCTGTAACCATTTCTTTAGTTCGATTGGGTATTTGGTAATGAGATTTCTAAATATAGGATAATAGTGATCTAGATTCGATCTAGGTGTTCCTAGAAACGCCTTGACTAAGTCAAACACAAAGAGTGTGCCCAAGTCTGTATTCACCATCATATTCCTGATAAAATCTTGATTCTCTTTTGACCCTTTTTTTAATGCAACTAATGCGACCCAGAATTTCAGAATTGATTTAATGATAAATGTCTCATGAGCCTTTAATCCATCTATTGCAAAACCGACAATAGCATTTTCAAACACAGGTAAACCAATAATTAGAGAAGGGTTTCTCTCTAATATTGTAGCAAATAATTCAATTGCAGAATTGATTGTATATGGATCTGATTTGAGGAAATCAATGTGATCGGTGAATACTCTCTTCACCAATTGGCCTACAATATCTTGATTCAATACCTTATGGTTTACAATAACAACGGTTTCTATAAGCCCATATAAATATGGAACAGAATCGATATTGCAGTTGCCGATTTTTGCCAGAATAAAGTTGAAGATAGTATTCATTGAAAACTTGAATGGACCTTCTATAGGCTCTCTAATTCCTGCTTTTAATATAAGGCAGCACTTTTCCGCACACGTAGTATTGTTAATAAGTGGAGTGTAATTCAAAAAAAATTCTTTCACGATATTCAAAATCAAATCTTTTACTAGTAAAGGATCTTCGATCCAATATTGATTAACAAGAAACTTTTCTTCTTCGCTATAGAAGTCATCCACTTCCTCGGGTATTTCACAAGCTTTACCAACCTCGCATATGCATGATAATAAGGAAAGAAGATAGTCTTCTTCATTCTCATTTAGCTGCGGATGACTCTTCATGACGTCAATAGCCCTTTCGTGAATAGCTCTAAGCATTCTGTTCAATATATCACTAAATTTTGAAGGTTCTTTCAAGCACTGGGCGATAGATGTATAGGCATTGAACATCCTTTGCCTGATTAAGCCATCTATCAACGGATTCTTTAACATCTCAACCAACAATAGTTCCAAAGTTGGCAAGAATGACGTCAAATTTTCTCTGCATTCTTGACATATTTTTAATACAGTCCTAGATGTATTAAGTGATAGAGATTGAGGTCCATTCAATATGATAGAAAATAGCAAATTAAAAATGGTGCCTAGGTAAGGTGAACCACGATCTCCCTTAAGATAAAACTGGATACTTGATAGAAAGTTGACAAATGTTGAATAGACATATCTATAAATTCCTTCCTCTGCTGGGTATAGTTTCATGACATCAAGCAACCTGGATTCAAAGAGCAAATCGACATGCCGTATTAGTACAGAGCTTTGAGACTCATAAAATGTGCAATCTTCAGTGATTTTGAATAATAAATATAATGTACTTTCAATGTCAATAATCTTCTCAGGATTTCCATCAATCTCTAAGATATTAGCGCTGATACTTTTAGTTAACTTTTCGTAAAATGGAACGCTCAATAACGAATATCCAGCAATAAATAAATCCGACACCCCACTTCTGTAGTGTAGAAATTCCAGTTTATTTGCTTCCAAGATGTTTAATTCAGGTAGGTGTATTTTATTCCAATAAATTGAACATATGTCATTAATAATTTCATTTCTCTTAGCCAAAAAATTAAGCTTGTCATTCGGAGCATCCGAAAACATCGCGTCAAATGTATCAGTGTCATCAACATAAATATTAATGAATTCCTCCCAGAATGTGAGAAATTGGTCACTAACAGATTCATCCTCAATAGGAATTCCAGGAAAATTTGTCAAAGTAACCAAGGCTTTGATTTTATATTGCGTACTTTCTTGCATTATTGATTTAGATAGTTTCAAAATATCATTCTGCAAAAATGTTATTAACAAGTTAACAAAAGACTCTATCTCTTCCTGGTACATGTCTTTGGATTCACCCAATATTATTTTGTCGATGTAATATGCTCCCCAATTCTGCGGCTGAAATAATAAGTCGTCCAAGTATGATTTCATTTCTGGTGTTAGCATGCGAGGATTGATCTCAAGAATTTCTGTCAACACACCCACTGCTTTATTTATTAGCTTGAGAGCTTCTCCTTCCTCTGGGTCTTGTTGAATCAGGAAATGGTTGAAAAGAAACGTAATCAATGCTTCCACCGACGTGTATCGCACTTGTGAGTTGCTTTCTGCTACTGAAATGTAAGTCACCCACGAATTCAAACAGTCTAAGGCCAACGAATCAATGGCTACACTTCTCGAATTGCTATTCAAAAAATTGTACATTATAACAAGATCCTTGTATAGCTCTCTTTCCACCACCGTATGAATCTCTGCCGTTCTCTCCTGCTTCGCAATATCCTCTACGATAACCGATGAGAATATCAATAACACCATTAAATGCACATCTGATAAACCTCCGATCGCTGTGGAGATATCTGCGTTACCACAAATCGACCGAAGTAACGATTCCACCGGGTTCGAATACATCTGGTGATTACTGATAAATACTAACGACAAATTCGACAATAACTTCCTTATAATAAACATGCTTGTTTCCAATGCACCATTTCTAATCGTGTCATATATATGACCTTCCATCTCACGCACCAAAATCTCTAGTTTATCAAAATCCAATTTAGGTCCCATCCTGTTGATCACCACCGCATATGTCAACGCTCCAAAAAACTGGCAATTCCTAGACGGTTGTTTCATGAGCATTCCAGCAAGCTGGTATCCGTCTCCCGATCTTTGTAATTCCTGCAACTCATTCTGGATCCGATTCACCTCTTCTGGGTCTCTAGTAGAATACAATTTCTCAATGTGCTGAAAAATTTAGGTTAGTACCCGTTTACAGATCTCTTCTCAAAATGGCCCAATTGGCCCAAACCATCCATTCATACATACCTGAACCACCTGATCAAAGCTAAGGTTCACCGTCATTCTCAAGTCGCCAATAACCCGTTCTTTCTTGCAAAAAAACACCCTAATCATCAATATATTTGGTCAGCTTGCCTATTATGGGACTGGCTGCTCACATTCTAACACTTTTGTGTCACTTTCTTCTAGTATAAGCGACATTAAGTCCAGATTTCTAACAAAAATGGTAATCTCTTTGGTGTAATTATATACTTGCGGAATCTATAATAATTATATAGTCAATCATCATAAAGCTTAAGATACGAATACATTTTATATGAGATGTTTTTCCGTATCTTTGACAAAGCAGTAGTTATAGCTAATAATAGTAAATGTACGAAGATTAGAGCTAAAGTAACACAAACAAGGCACTTTTTTTGACGTAGAGCCGTGTCTTTACCGGCCTTTGATGATATGATTATCTTTGCAAAATAGTTATTGGACAAGAGAAAGAAAGGGTTTTTAAGTACAATAAGTATCAAAGTATGAAGAAAGTGAGTAGAGCACAATGTGCTAATTGTACCTGTTCACCAGGATTATTATCACGTACTCACAAGAGTTCATTAAGTCTTGCTAAACGAGTTAGCATGAGAAAGAGTGGGTCAGGATCACCTAGAGGAGGCTCGAGAAAGGGTTCGGTTTTCACGATAGATGCGGCCAGCTTGTGTGCCCCTGATGCTAAAGAAGTCAATACATCGAAGCGGTTAGAAAAATTGCGGTTGTTGATGGCAGAATACGATTTGGGGGTGTATGTTGTACCATCGGAGGACCAGCACCAGTCGGAGTACGTTTCTGCGTTTGATCAGAAGAGAAGTTTCATTTCTGGGTTCCAAGGTAGCGCAGGGGTGGCGGTCGTTACTAGAGATGTGATGTGTATGAATGAGACTCCTGAAGGGGCTGCAGCTTTGTCGACCGATGGTAGATACTTCAATCAGGCGACGAATGAATTGGATTTTAATTGGGTCTTATTGAAGCAAGGAGTCAAGAACGAGCCTACGTGGCAAGAGTGGAGTGTGGACCAAGCAATTCAGTTATCGTTAGATTCGGGAAGCAAGATAAACATCGGAGTGGACCCAAAATTGATCACATACCAGGTGTACGAGAAGTTCGATAAGGTGGTTAGAGATAAACTTTCATTGCCGAAGAACTCAAATGCAGAGGTAGAGCTTGTGGCGATCAAGGATAATCTAATCGAAAAGATGTGGATTGACTTCGAAGACTTGCCTAGCTCTCCTGCTAGTATTATCAAAGTATTGGACGAAAAGTATACTGGAAAGAAGTATACTGACAAAATTAAAGACGTTACTGAGGCCATGAATAAGCACAACTGTGCTGGATTGGTTGTTTCAGCATTGGACGAAATTGCATGGTTGCTTAATTTGAGAGGAAGTGATATCGAGTATAACCCCGTCTTTTACGGTTACTTGATCATAACTAATCAGCAAGTGACATTATTTGCCAATAATTATAGATTTGATACAAAAGTCCAGGCAGCATTACAGACAGACAAAGTAAATGTGGAGCCGTACGAAAACTTTTGGAACAAGTTAAACTCATTGTCAAAGGATTTCAATATGGCCAATAAGAAACTTTTGGTCCCTAAAACCTCATCGTGGGAAATCATCCGTAACTTAAAGTGTTCGTTTGAGCAACCTTTAAGATCGCCTATAGAAGACTTAAAGGGTATTAAGAATGATGTTGAACTTAAAGGGGCTCGTTCCGCCCACTTGAAGGACGGCCGTGCCCTCTGTAAGTTTTTTGCTTGGCTTGAAAATGAATTGATATATAAAGGCGAATTGATTGACGAGCTCCAAGCAGACGACAAATTAACCGAATTCAGAATGCAAGAAGAAAACTTTGTAGGCTTGTCCTTTGCCACTATCAGTGCTACCGGGGCCAATGCAGCCGTTATCCATTACAAACCCGTTAAAGGTGAATGTGCTGTGATTAACCCCCACAAGATATATTTAAACGATTCGGGTTCTCAATTCTTAGAAGGAACCACCGACGTCACCAGAACTATACACTTTACAGAACCTAAGCCAGAAGAAATCAAGCATTATACTTTGGTCTTGAAGGGCAACATTTCTTTAGGCAACTTGAAGTTCCCCGAAGACACCACGGGAGCTTTGATCGACTCGATTGCAAGACAGCATTTGTGGGCTGCTGGTTTAGACTACGGCCACGGCACCTCCCACGGTATCGGAGCATATCTTAACGTCCACGAAGGACCAATTGGAATCGGCCCAAGACCAAATGCCGCATCTTCGTCTTTGAAACCAGGACATTTGATTTCTAATGAGCCTGGGTACTACGAGGACGGCGAGTACGGTATCAGAATCGAAAATGTCATGTACGTCAAGCAATCTGGCCGTTCCTACAACGAGAGAGAATTCTTAGAGTTCGATACCCTCACCAGGGTCCCCTTGTGCAGAAAGCTTATCGACGTTTCCTTGTTGACTACTGAAGAAAAATCCTGGATAAATAATTATCACCATACTGTGTGGCAAGAATTGTCGCCTTCGTTTAGCAAGAACTCTCTTGAATACAATTGGTTAAAGAAGGAGACCGTCCCTTTATAGTTACAGAGATACCAATGCCTCTCCCCGATCGCTAATATATGTTAATGTATAATCCACAATTGAAACGATTGCAAAATTGTAAGCAACACTATGTACCAGCAAGACAAGACCGTAGCCGAATATCGGTATAAGGCTATTCGCATTTCCAGCCAATCAAAGCTAGTCAAGTTTTGCTTACTCGAAATTGAAAAATGTGTGCGAATACCAAAATGTTTGTGGGTCATTAGCTTTCACATACAAACTTATTATAAATCATATACAATAAGATCTTCTTTCTACAATTTACATAGAATAGTCAATATATTTTATAAACAAGTAGTCAAAAATGATATCGAAAAGAATTATATTGACAAACATAAACCACACATATAAAAGATATGCTTCGAATGAAGCAAAGAAAGGTGGTAAGAGATTCATGCAAACTATACCTGTTACAACAAGCAAAAATGATTTCTATTCAGGATTGAAATATCCTATGAAGACAAATTTTGGAGAATCATCAAGGGATTCTGGTGATTTGAGCTCTAAATGGTCTAGACATTCGTTGGGTTCGATGGAAAATGTGTCTACTAAGGACCAAAGTACTTCAGCACCCGCCAGGAGATCCCGGGCATCCAAATTTTCCAATAAGACATTAAAGAACATCAGCAAGCCTGAAGTAGCAGAGACTAAGAACACTAAGGAAGAAACGAAGAACATAGACACCGAGAAGTCCGCACAACCTAATATAATATCCACAGCAACTGTCGAGCCTACGACTACAAAGACAACGGAAACAGAGAAGCCAATGAAGAAAACAAAGCAAAAGAGAACATTGCGTCCTAGAAAAGCATTGATCACTTTGAGTTCTAATGCAGTGGAGCATTTGAAGGACTTATTGGACCAACCTGAACCGCAATTGATCAGAATCGGGGTACAGAACAGAGGCTGTTCAGGATTGACATATAACTTGGAATACGTGACAGAGCCAGGTAAATTCGATGAAAAAGTAGAACAAGATGGCGTAAAGGTGTACATAGACTCAAAGGCCCTTTTTTCGATTGTGGGGTCTGAGATGGATTGGTTGGACGATAAATTATCATCAAGGTTTATCTTTAGAAATCCAAACTCTAAAGGTACTTGTGGGTGTGGTGAATCATTCATGGTCTAATAGATACACTCATCATGCATATTTGAGCTCTTGATATAAGAAGACCCTTACGCCCATATTCGTTCACACGATATAATTCTGCATTAAATTTATATTACATAACTACATTATACTACATTATATTTCTATATTATACTAGAAGGTCAGCATATCTTCTTAATAAATATTTATGATTACATTATTAAATAAATGCTGTAGAAAAGTCTTTGTATTTGGGGAAGGATTGTTCGGCCCCGAGGTCCGTCTTAAATTTTTTGAGTGAGATTTTTTTGGCGTTGTTTGCGACACTAAAACACAATTTTAAAGCTGCAAATTTGTGGATTAGGTGTATCTGTGTCCTACCGTTGACTATAAAACACAATAAGTATGCCCACTATCTTCTTAAATTCATTTCCTTCTCCCATTCTTTTCTTTCTTTATATTCAATCAATAAAAGATTACGTTCAAGCCTAAATATGCAAATTAACATACCATTGATCTTATCGCTTCTTTCTGTATCTCAATTGGCGTTAGGAGACAAAGCCCCCAAGATTAAAAAAAATCCAAAGAATGTTGTAGCCATTGCTGATTTCCCATTTGGGTTTGACAATAACGTTCAGGGTAACATTGTGTTCACAGCTAAAAGAGGTAAGTCTGTTAACGTTCACGTTGATGTGACTGGTTTACCAAAGGAAGGGGGACCCTTCCAATATCATATCCATGAAAACCTGGTTCCTTCTGATGGTAATTGTGACTTAGTGGGCTTGCATTTCAATCCGTATGATGCTCCTCCAGATTGTGAAGATCAAAAAGATGATTCTTACTGTCAGGTAGGTGACTTGTCGGGTAAGCATGGTTGGATTGACACCACATGCTTTGAAACAAAATACAACGATCCATACCTTTCATTGAACAAGAAATCCAATTCCTACATTGTTGGTAAATCAATCACATTCCACTTTGCCAACTTGACTAAGTTTGCTTGTGCTGATATTGAATTAGCATCAAACATAAGGTTACAAAGCTTGCAAGATGAATATAACTCAAACAGCAACTATGACCTTCAGGAATTACAAAAAGACTTAGCAACAGGTCTCGAATTTAACCAAGATTACAAAGAATACTCATATGACTCGGATGAGGTTGACAAGTATGAAGTATTTGATGAAGACCCAGATGTAGATGAAGACGCAGAAGTCGAAGACTCGAATCCAACCAATGACAATACAAAAGACGATGACTATCTTGACGATGACAATACAGAAGACAATACATCAAAGACCAAACTTATAAACGATTTGAAATCAAGAAATGGTTCACATAATGCAACCCATTCTCATAACGGCACTGAATTCCACAATGGAAACAATTCCAATGCTACATCAAATGAGTATTACTCCGAAACTGAAAGTGGATCTTCTACTTTTGGCTTAAGTATTAGCTTAATGATTGGTTTAGGTGTTATCACAGGTTTACTCATTTAGCCGTTTACTATCCCTTATCATATCTTCGCTTACTTTCAGTAATCTTCTCTCAGTCTCTCAATCACACCTCTTACTTTAAGCACTTCTTTTAGACTTTTTTTTTATATCTCTCTTATAGATTATATGCCTCCCTTATCTGGTTCTCTCTTAGTACAATCAGTACCTAATAAATGATAAGATTATATTGAATAATTAAATATTTAACTATGTAATTTTTCTGCACTCGAAGTAAGTAGCATTTATGTCGTCAGGCAACGAACAGAAGTACTCTAATTTCTGCATTTGCTTGAACAATTGTACTGAGTTGTACTTCAATTTCAAGCATGTTTTACCTCCTTGTTCATTATTGGTACAAATAATACTCTCCTCAATTTCCTTTTCGCCATCAATGACAAAAAGGTTTTTTGGTTTTGCATTAACAAATTCAGCTACTGATTCATTATTTGCCTTTACAGTATTTGCTTTCAATTCTTTTAACTTAAGAGGGGTTTGATTTTCTGTTAATTGATCTAAGGTATGATTAATATCCGATGAAGTTGAAAGGTCATTTGAATTAGACGTTGCTGAATTGAACGGTGGTTGACCAGATAAGTCTAACGGTTGATGTGAACGTTGTTCTACTTGGTTATTTGGAATAGAACTCGATGAATCTCTTGAAAACCAACCCATATTTGTATTAGTTGTTGAATAGATAAAATAGAAGTTAGATAAATTTCAATTTTGATATTGCTATTAATTGCGCAGTAAATATTCAACACTTCTTACGTCAGTCTCTTCCATCTTTAATAAATTATACACTATGAATCATATATCTAGCTTTATGTTTAGTGGTAGTAATTCAGGATAGACGTTTGAATACAAGTCATTAAATATATTCTCTATAAACATAATCTATAACATTCGTTTAATCTCATTAAGTTTAACTCGTAATCCCGAAACCCAATAAGATTAGCATCAACGTCTTTAAAAGCAGATTTGTACTCCTTAGAATCGGGGTCGTTTGATAAGTTGTTCAATTGGTTATTTATCTTAGGTACCCATTCGTACTTTCGATCATATTTAATGATATGCGGTTTCTGCTGATCCATTCTTAGCAACGTCAATATTATCAGTTTTTCCATTCTTTGAGGCAGTTCTAAATCCTGAAAGAATAATATAGGCTTCTCCTTTCTCTCTGATGGTAAATACACCGTTGAATTGTGAACAAATGCTAATGTATTTATAATACGTTCAAACAAACTAATTTCTGATAATATGTCAACGTCATCTAATAAGATGCTTCGTTTCAGATTAAAGTCCTCCATGGTGAATTTCCGTCGTATTATCTTCTGGTATATTTCTTTATTGTATGGCTTGGAATCAACCATGTTACGTAGTCTATAGAATCTTTTGTATAGTGATAAGAATTTAGATTTCTTAGAGGAAAGCTTGTTTAACTCTTCAAGTTTTATTAACGACGAGACCTGATACTTCACTATTAAATCATTTCCTACTGTAGCAGTCTGTTTGATCTTATTCATTCTTAAACAGTACTCTTAAAGTGACTATTTTAATACTAGACTTAAAGGCTTGAAGTCTCAATCGCGTGATGAGGAATTTTTACAACCGTTGAAAAGATTATGACAACAATAGCTGCAATATAATTAATATGACGATTGATACTTTAACTCTAAAGAGAGATGAGGATTACTTCAGTTTGAAATACGCTTACCGGTTGCAGAATAATTTTTCCAATTTAGAAGATCAATTCATAATTGCTGATAAAAGATTCAGTGTAAGTTTACTGCAGCGGCTGATCTATAAGATCTCTACTAACTCACACAGTTAAATGTTAATCTACATATAAATGGAATTCAACTACATACTACCGATTATGAATGCTTGGTAGAAGCAATTGGACATAGTTTTGGCGAGTGTCGTTATTGGAAACACATAGATATGAACACAAGCTTATTCATTAGAGACGACAAAACTTCCTCATTTCTGTTAGATCTTGAGTGTAATGTATCGACCCCAATCATTAATGATCTTCTCGATATCAAGTTTGCATTTCCTAATTCCATAAATTTACTAGAACTGATAGATTTAGACTTCCATTACAACACTTTTCAGTCAGAGCTACGACTTGTTGACATCGTAGAAGCATTGAACTACCTGTTCAGTTCGTTAATCATCAACTTAGAGTTTAAATTTCCATTTGTGTTCTCATTCTATGGGAGAAAGCTATTCAAAACGAACTATAATTGGCTTGTCAAGAACCTTGATGAAGTTTTATGCCCATCTTCTCCAAACCACCCTTCCATACCTCATGATAAAAGTGCAGCCTTTTTACAATCCATGAAAAATGTCCAATTGAAAGCGCTAGCGGAATACAATACATTGAGTGTCATGAAAGAATGTGATACTTCTGGAACTAAGTCGGACGCATGTAAGAGGTATAGACGTCGATTTCTTGGTTCAGGCATCCCCTATACTCCTAATTCCCCCATTAAAGCCATGGTTTATGACTTGGAGCTCTTTGATCTAAGCTCTATTGAAAGTCATCTTGATATCGAATCTGTCACGTGATGCCTTATATGGTAAGAATGTAAACAAAAACACAATAGATCAAACGAACACAAGCAAATCGCCAACTACAGTTACTTGGTTTAATATAGTTAGACATAGTGAGGTACATCTATATATGCCATGTCATTCTTCCAAAACTTTAATACACATTCGCTAAGATCGACTAGGGGATTTAAATTAAAACAGTCATCACCAATATCAAGTCCACAGCCAATTTCAAACTCAACATTTCCAAACCCACCACAGAATAATCAGCAATATCAGCAAGAGCCGGGACAGGCATACCAAACAATAAACTTAAATAATGGTGGGCAATCGGTTTCATCACATAAAGATATCAGAAATTATGCTGAGCAAACATTAGGATCCGATAATGCATTGATCCAAGCAGTCAAATTACCACAGGACGAAGACATCAACGAGTGGCTAGCCATTCACGTAGTCGATTTCTACAATCAAATAAATATGTTGTATGGTGCAATTACGGAATTTTGTTCTCCAAAGACGTGTCCTAGAATGATTGCAACGGACGAATATGAATACTTGTGGCAAGAGACAAACGCTAACTCTAATGGAATGGCTCTGCCTAAGAAGCCAGTATCATTACCTGCTTGCGAATATACAGAGAACTTGATGAATTGGATTCAAAACTTTTTTGACAATGATAATATATTTCCTTCTAAGATTGGAGCGCCTTTTCCACAACAATTTCCAAGCTTGGTAAAAACAATCTTCAAAAGATTATTCAGAATCTATGCCCATATCTATTGTCATCATTTTCATGAAATCTCCGAGTTAGGGTTACAAAGTCATCTCAATACCAGTTTAAAGCACTACGTTTTATTTAGTAATGAGTTTAATTTAATAACTCGTAAAGATTATGGGCCTTTAGAAGATTTGGTTGACACTATGCTAAAGAAATAAATTATATAAGGGTAATATTTATTTTGTAAGTCCTTATATATACATCATGAATTCATATAATTAACATAATGCAACTTCAGCCATCAAACAAAGATGATCTGATGGATATTGACCAAGTCTTGGTTGCCCTGAAGGCTCCGGTCCCATATCCTTTGGTAATGGTAGCTTCAATAATCTAGTAATCCGAACCCCATTATTTTGTTCTACATCCTTAACTGTATCTATCTTGTCAGCAAATGATTCATTTTTATCATCCCATGAACTTATTACGAATATATAGTCTAGCAAGCCTCTCCATGCATGTGCCCAATTGGAGAAAATTGGCTCGTCTCTATCATTATCAAGACCTGAGTTGTCTGGATCGACCAATTTGTAGCCAACGGAATATAAAGAAATAGCTCTCATATCTAATGAATTGTGTAGATCTTGCATTGAATTGACTAATTTTAACTGTTCCGGAGTAGGTTCAAAAGACTCAGGAACTGGATCTTTTGGTTGATTAGTTCCAAACTTTTCAATATTACCACCTTCTTCTTCTTCTTCCTGTTCGTCTTCTTCATCTTCATTGCTATTGTCATTATCTATTACGCCTCGATTCTTTGAATACTGATACGATAATGAACATCCTAAAACTGTACGAGCTCTGTCAGCATATTTCGCTGGCTTAGCAGATATAGATAAGTATGGCGCATCAAAAGGTTGGGAATTAAAGTCTCCAGCGAAGAAGCTGTACCAATCTTTATCATTACCCTTAAGAGTATTCATCGTCGAAGCAAATTCTTTGAATTTCTTTAAAATTAAATATGTTTGTCTTGTTCTTTCAAACGTGCCAAATGGGTGCCAAAACAAATGTGTGGTTCCAATGATTATTCCATTTCTTGAAATATTAGAATACTTCGATAATATTTGAGGCGTGAAATCTAAACAAGCCAAAAGCCCAATATTCTGAGTAGCTGTCCTTGGTCTCAACTCCCCTGAAGTTTCTTTATCATAGTAAATAAAACTTTGATGCTTGCAAATAAACTTATCTGTCTTGAATGCAATAGCCAACCCATGATTTTTAGTATCTGCTCTATAATACTTCATTTCGTACCCTAATTTCCCTAATTCTTTGCGCCAGTATGAGTTATATTGGATAAAATCTAATTCTTGTAAACATAAAATGTCTGCGTCATAGTGCTTGAATTCAGACAACAAAACTTGTGATCTTGTAGACCACTTTAATGCATTTCCACTTGTTGGAAATAGCTTCCTTCTAATCAATGCTTGCGCTAATATATTATAGGACATGATTTTTATCTTAAATGAATCATCATCAGTTACATTATTTGGAAGCTCAAGCAATTCTCTTGTTCTAAATCTTAATTCAACCGGAGTATTCACCGTATTAGGGTCGATTCCTTGAGCAAGGAGCTCTTGTTTTTTCTTCTCTTTTTTTAAGTTCCTTTGTCTTCTCTGTTCTTCTATGTACTCAGGTGTAAGTGTAGCAGGATCTCTTGATTTCTTACTAGATTTCTTCTTTTTACCTCTTTGAGTCGAGTTTGAATCCGTTATTGGCTCTTTCTGCTCAGTAGTAGTACTTTTTTCCTCATTAGGAAGCTCATTTGGTACATTAGACATAGTGAGGCCCATCTTGATAGTGTGAAGAGTTTGGCGAGTCTACAATCAAGACTTTTTTTGCAAGAGTTTTATTTTCAGTGCGCTAAATCTACAAAAACATATTATCATCACTTTGATCAGCCAATTCTAGTTGCATATATATTAACTAAGATAATAATCATGGCTATTTTAAGTGACCTTAATAATTACTTTAAGCGATTGGATGAGTTACAGTTTGCTGTATTTGCAAAGATAAATGAAATAATCGATGATAGTGACCCAACAGCAAACCAAGGTGAAGATTCAATTGAATTAAAACGAATCAAGTCTACAAAAGAGGCCAATGGATTAATATTCAAATTTCGTGATATGTTAAAGGTTATAGAAATTAACTTATCTGCAGATGGGGATGATCAATTATCTATTAGATATCAAATGTACAAAGAAAAGTTAACAAATCTAAAACTAAAATTGAGGGAATGTCAATTACAATCATACAACTTAGAAAATGAGTTGATTCATAAACAAAGGATTGCTAAATACTCGCCTATAATAAAGGATAATGTTAATGAGGCTGATTTAAGGAAAGACTTGTTTTCGGGTCGTAGCACGAAAGATGATTCTAAAATCAAGAGTCAGTCCATACGGGATCAAATATTGACACATAATAAATCGATTACATCGTCATTACAATCTACGAGGCAGTTAATGTCGACCTCTATCGTACAAACTGAATTGAATATTGACTCGGTTGAACAACAAACGAAGGATTTATCTAATTTGAATGATAAGTTTACCGATTTCGAATCGTTGTTAAACAAGTCCAAAAATATTGTCAAATTTATCGAAAAGCAAGATAGAAAGGACAAGAATAACATCTACCTAAGTATTGGATTTCTTTTGCTATGTAGTGCATGGGTCATTTGGCGCAGATTATTGAAGATGCCTGTTAAGTTTTTCTTATGGTCATTTTTCAAGATATTTAGAATGTTCAATAGAATATTCGTTACCTCAGGAACCAAAGACGATCTTGACTTATATGCAACAGTGGGGGCTGTCGTCAGTAGCTCATTGATTGCAAGTAGCATACTATCATCTGCTACTAGCACTCTAAATTTAGATGAAGAGTTCACGATGAATATTGAGCCCAATGGGGAACATAAAACCTGGGAAGATATAGTTAGCACAGCTACTAGTAGAATTGTTGATGAACTATGAGCATGCATATATATATATAGATATATATTAGAAAATCATATTTAGTTTTTAGGCCTATGGTTGTTCAACCTTGACAGAATCCCCATTCTTAGCGGAACTCTCTAAGGCAGCACCAACAATAGCCAAGTGGTGATAAGCCTTTGCAGCAGTGACATGGACAATGGATTTATCGTTCTTAGTAACTGCTTCAGCAAAATTCTTGAATTCTTCAACAAAAGTATCATTTTCGTCAACTTCAATGACAGTCTTCTTAGAGGCTTGTTGAGAAGAAGCACCAGTTTGGTATGTGATGGTTGGCTTAGGCAAGTCTGGAGAAAAGTCGTAGACAACAGAACCATTAGTACCATAAATGATGAAACTAGTGGACTTATCAGTGGCACCAAAAGAAGACCCGTAAGTGAAAGTACCGATGGTACCGGTCTTCATTTTCAAAGTGGAAAATAAGATATCGTCAGTACCACTTTCTTCTCTGATTTGCTTAGTCAAACCTGAAATACTTTCAACTTCACCTAACACGTCAGTCAATAAAGCCAATTGATGAACACCACCGTCACTCAAGAAACCACCAATGTGTTCAGGGTTTTGTCTCCACGAAGTAGCCAAGTATTTGTTGTTATCGTTCCATGCACCAGTGGATTTGTAAGTAAATGACACGACTTCACCAATCTTTGGGAGTACGTCCTTCTTTAAAATCTCAATGGCTTTCAAGTACGACCAGTTTTCCAAAATACTTATTGGGACATCGGAACCGTTGGCCAAATGTACTATTTCCTTAGCTTGATCCAAGTTAGCAGCAATTGGTTTTTCGAGACAAATAGGTTTGTTGTATTTAATAGCCAACTTCACAGCATCTAAGTTGAATTGAACTGGTAACAAAGCATCCACAAAATCAACGCTATCAGTCTTGATGATATCTTCTAAAGATTCATAGATTTGAGATGGGTCAATTTTGGCCTTACTAGCGAATGTTTCGGCCTTTGCCTTAGTTCTGTTGTAACACGCGGCTGGTGTTAAGTTAGGAAGTTTGTCAAGAGTTGGCAAGTGCTTGTCTGTGGCAAAAATACCTGTACCAACGATAGCAAGCTTCAAATTTTTATTTTCACCGGACATAATTATTCAATTTATTTAGTTTTAATTCGTAATACTACAATTTTTCAGTTCAAATAATAATCCGACAATCACTTTCGTTTATGTAGTATTGGGTTCGGGGTTTTTCCTTGGAATTCTCCGTTTAAATTACTAAGCTACCTTTGTTAGAAGGGTTATTACTGATTGGTATAATATTCGTGGGGGGGTCAACGAGTGTGGGGGGATGTGGATGCATTATTCCGCCGTAAGAGTTATCCCGGCCGGCATGCTACACGGCATGACACGGCATGACACGACATTTAATCCGACATTTAATCCGACAAAAGTAAACGACATTATACGCGACATTGTGCACGACATTGTGCACGACATTGGGTACAACATTACCTGAGTAAATTTTGTGACTTGAAAACACTGTTCATTACTCTCTAATTAATCCAAATATACCCAGTTACCATGGAGGTCAGCCCGATAGATATAGGTCACACGAGTGATGAGCATGAATTGAGGTCAAATCTGCGTGAAAGCAGCAATGAGCCTGTGCATGCGGAAGAAATAGAAGACAATAATGAAGAAAAGAAAAGTGAGCGTGAAGAACCAGGACAAGAGCAGGGCACCGACCAGGAAGAGGAATATGACCCCGAAATCGAACACGAAATCGAACACACTGAAGATAATCCTGAAAGTGAGCACGAAAAGGTAGATACATCTGATGATCCTCATGAGCAAAACAGTAATAATCAGGAGAAAGAGGACGATGACCACGATGATGAATATGAGCCAGAAGGAGACCAAGATAGCTCTAAAACACCACCTGAGGCCGCAAATGTAGGTGTAAATGACTCTAATGATGATGATGATGATGATGATGATGACGACGAGTATGACCCAGAAAGTGCATATGAAGAGATATCAGTGACGAAAGCTACTGGGGCCTCGCCATCGCTGCAGAACGATCCTCTAATTGAAAAACCTGACGAAGAAGATGAATATGATCCAGAAGTTCCTTTGAACGATCCCGAACCCCACCAAAGAGAAGACTATGGATACGAACCTAAACCTAAGGCCAGTAATATCATAAAAGGTAAGCTTCCGGCTGGATTACCCCCTAAACCGCCTGTAAATGCTGCGGAAAGATCAACAGCGAAGAAGGATCCGCAACAACAGTTGAAAGAAGCATACGATGCGATAATGCAAAGCGAAATTGTAAAAGATCCAAATTTTGTAAATTTACCTCAAACCGAACAAATGAAATTGATAATGGAGCAATTATCTCAGAGAAATGTTAATTTGTCTGGAACTGCTATTGCCTCTAACCCAAGCAATGTTAATTATGACCAAGTTTATTCTTACAATAAGCCGTTTAAGAATTTGAAAAACCCAATTCCTCTTGTACCGGTCAACGAATTTTGTCGAAGACCAAATATAACAGCACCAATGACTCCTGAAGAAGAAAAAGCGTACGATGATTTTATTAAAAGAGAGGCATACTATATGAATTTGCAGAACTGGGATGAATTCCCAGATAAACTGAGATTATTCATTGGTAACCTTCCAGCAAACACTATTTCAAAACAAGATTTATTTCGAATTTTTAGTCAATATGGTGATGTCATTCAGATTGCTATAAAGGCAGGCTATGGTTTTACTCAATTCAGGACAGCAGAAGCATGTTTAGAATGTATCAAAGGAGAGTCCAACGTTCCTTTACACAACAAGATCATGAGATTAGATGCTTCTAGGCCGCAAAAATCTAGACGTCCAGGAAAGCCAGAAATTAATAACCCTAACTTAGCTTCAAGAGGAAGAGATAGATCTCCTGATGAATCGAGTGGTAAAAGAGGTAGAGATGAACAGGCCCCCGGTAATCGTTATGGTTATGGAGAGAACAAGAAGCAAAAAAGTGTTGTTCCTGATTGTCAAGTCTATATAACAGGTAAATCTTCAGTTTTCTTTATTAGAAAAGTCAAAAAGGCATTTTCAAGTAGTCAAGTCTCAATTGAAGTGGAAGATATCACCCATAGAGATATAAATGATGTTATCAGTGAGGCTGCATATTCAGGCGTTTTAGGCACTTGTGTTATTAAAGAAGCAAAAGTTGACGTTCAGACTTTTGAAAATACTAGCGACGGTGGAATTAAGTTTGACGAATATGCTGATATCGATCCTGAAATAGCAGCTGACATTTTAAGTAAAGCAAAGTTCAAAAAATACGGTAATACTGCAAGCCCACAGCCTTACGTGTATGGAAACCAAAACCAGAACCAGAACCAGAACCAAAACAAGAGTTATGTTGCTGCAATGAATAATGATTTTTACGATACTGGATATGGTGGTAACCGTAGAAGTGGTGGAAGAAATGACCAGCACGACAATCGTGGAAGATCTGGCCGAAATGAACGTGGGCGAGGAAAAGGTGGAAGAAGCAACAACAACAACAACAATAACAACAATTGGGAAAGTCACCATGGTAACAATAATATGTACAGCCAAAATGTTCCATATGGTCAGCCTCCAGCTCCAAATTACGGATCTCCACAACCTGCTTATAACCAACCACCTGCAGCTCAAGCTGATCCAAATAGTCAGGCTAACCTTATCCAAACATTACAAGGTATGGATCCAGCTTCAATGCAAAACATGATAGCTTTATTGCAGCAACAACAGCAACAACAACAACAGCAACAGCAGCAGCAGCAGCAGCAGCATCAAAGGCGCCCACAGTCTATCCAATCTATGGGCATGGAACAACCAATGACTCAATCACCATATGGATATAATCAACCACTTAACTATGGTCAAGCTGCGCCCCACCCGCCTCCTCCTCAGAGTCATACACAAGCTCCAAGTGGACAAGTTAATTCTTTGTTATCTCAATTGCAATCTTCGCTGTCTTCTGGATATAATCCACAGCAACAATCACAACCGGCTAATTCTACACAGTCATTAATGGAAACATTGGCTAGATTAAGTCGAAAATAACTCCTGTCTGTTCGTTTTACTTATATTTATTAAGCCCATTTTTCGAAAGGAAGCTTTGCATATTCTAATTCGTAATTACAAATCTATAAGTATCAAAGTATTGGCATGTAGACATAACTTAATTAAAACATTAATTAACTATATAAATTTCTTTCAATCAACGATATCCTCAGTATTTGGCTCTTCGTGAACTTCTTCTAACTTTTCAGCTTCTAAATCCATACCTTCATTATATTGTTTTTGCAATTCCTTAAATTCATTTTCATCCTCTATGTAACCATTAATGCCAATAACTCCACATTCGTTAAATATTTCTAAAATATTCTCAGCCTCCTCAACCTTTAATTTTGCAAATACGTTATTAACGGCATCCAAGGATTCGGTTCTTACAGCATCTTGCATTTCTTTAGATAATTTGGTCGAGAAAATTTCAAACTCCGGTGTTCCTTCTTGGGGAATATTAACCAGTAATTCAGTTTTATCATCAAGAGCCTTTAATTGAATTAACGCTTCTTCCTCGTTATCATTGTTTTCTATGCCTTGTTCCTGTTTAATAATTTCACATCTTGATTTAATATGATTGAATGTGTTGGTGACATCTTGAGAAAATCCCATTTTTGCAGGAGACGACTGGTCATTAATTTTAGAGCAGAATAATTTAACTGCCTTGATAATCTGATCTTTGTTTGGATTAACCCCGGCTAATTGGGCGACATATTGTAATAATAACGATTGATGAATTACTTGACGGGCTGTATCAGAATCTCCTTGTAACTGATGATCAAATGCAGTCATAAGCAAAGCATCTTTTTGTTGCTCATTACAAATGTGAGTATGTCTTATTAAGTAATTGGCGCTCTCGTCGATTTTAGTGCTTGAAATCTTACCAAAATCAGCAGTAGCTGGATTCAATGTTAATTCATCTAACATTTCTTTATCCGACTTGGGCTCTTTCGACGTTGAAGTAGCACTAGAAGGATCATTTATAGTTTCTGTAGTCGTAACTGTCTTCTTTTCTGTCTGTGGAGGAGCAGCCACTACTTTGTCTTCGTCCTTCTCTTTATTCAAGAAAGATTTATCAAAGCCAGTATGTATGTCGTCACTGCTAATTAACATCGATTTCTGGTATAAAAGATCATCCAACTTTATGGCTTGTTTGGATAACACGTCATCGATCTTAGCTCTATGTTCTTTCAAGTACTGCGTCAATTTTGCCGCATCCTTTGCAGCGTCTGGATGATCTTCTTTAACCTGAATAAAAAGATCTTCAATCATCTCATTATACGGTGGAGTATTTTCAATCTCTTCTGCACTAAACGACAAATCCTTAAGACCCTTACGTAACGTGTCACCTTTTTCTTTCTTCAAAATCTCATAGTTGAATTTTTCTAACTTATCGAATTTATCATTCAATTTCTTCATAATCAAAGAGTCATCTAATAATTGCTCCTCGCTCAAGTCATTCAAAAGGAAATCAACTCTTTCATTAAGCTTAGCATACATAGTTAATTGAACTAATATCGATTTGATTTCAATATTTCTCTGTTGACGCTTCTCGTGAATATCTCTTTGTTTCCATTTAATAAACGATCTCTTATCCACATTAGGGTGCACTTCTATATCTGAATCATCAGATAATTCAATTTTATCCCACTTGGAGTAATCAATTGGCATATTCGTGTTGTCTTCCGTTAATAATCTCTTGTAAATCTTATGTATTACAATTAATATACCACTGATGATCATATTCTCGAATCTTCGGCCAATTCGCTATGTGCAGAATAGCATAGTTATATGGAAGTGTTCTTTAAAATGTACCACTTAAGCTTAGTATTGGAAGGCATAAAGAAATCTAACCAATAATATACACGTAGCGAAGATTCCCAGCTTATTGGGGAAGGTATCCACTTTCTGAACGACAACAGCTTTCTTTTCATTTCCATGCACTAAAAATGATAAGCAAATATTTTTAAATCAATACGATTAATGTTTTGAATCCTGAACAATCCATTCACTCTGGTATATAATAGTATTAAATGATAGTCTTCTCGGGTTGTTCCTTCCTACCGTTATTATTCATATCTTTAAGGACTCCATAACCTTCATTGATTGTGTTAAAAAAATGTAGTACAAAATTTCGCAACCTTTTTTAATACCTACAGCTGCACTATTTAGAGGATAAAACTATTGTAATATTAGTAAGAGCAATTGTAATGGTTGCTATATCATTAGATTGGTTTACTTTAATGAGGAATGTAAGTTTGGATAATAATAACTGGGTACAATTGTGAAGTATTAAAACTACGGTTTTTGGGAATAATTTTCAATTTTTAAGAAAACCATTCAAGTAAGAATTTACTCAAACTGATTGAGTCTTCTCAACTTACAAGATCCATTTTTACGAGTAATTTGCGTCCGTATGAAGTTACAAGGAATATATGTTTGTGGGTCAATATTACATTAATA